GTCTCCCACGTGGGTGCAAGGGCCCAAGGACCTGGGCCATCTTCCACTGCTTTCCCAGGCCATGGCAGATGGCTGAATAGGAAGTGGAGCAGCAGGAGCTTGAACCAGCGCCCTTATGGGATGCCAGCACTGCAGGCAGCGACCTTACCTGCTATGCCACAGCGCTGCCGGTTCCTAAAATGACTTTTAACCACAGGAAGCATGGAAAATTCATACTGCTTCCCCTGTATCAAAGAGAAGAAAATGTACCAGGAATAGAAGATATGTAGTTATCACATTTACTAGCTGATGAACTTGGGCTAAATACTGAATACATTTTTTTAAAAGATTTATTTATTTGAAAGAGTTAGAGAGAGAGCGAGAGACATAAGAGAATGAGAGAGGAGAGAATCTTCCTTCCGGTGGTTCACTCCCCAAAAGGCCACTAAAGCCAGGCTGGGCCAGGATGAAGCCAGGAGCTTCTTCCAGGTTTCCTGCATACATGCAGGGCCCAAGCACTTGGGCAATCCTCTGCTACTTTCCCAGGTGCATTGGCAAGGATCTGGATCAGAAGTGGAGTAGCCAGGACTCCAAGGAGCACGCATATGGGATGCCAGTATCACAGGCAATGGCTTTTCTGGCTATGCCACAGTGTTGGCTCCTGAACACTTTTGATATGTAGTTTATTCATCCATAAACTGAGGCCTCAGAGAGTGTTGAGAGAATAGTGTATGATAACTTCTAAGAGAGATCAGTAATTAATAATTACAATTTTCCATCCTCTTTAAGGTTGTGGTTTCTGTTTCAGATAGGGAGAAATATTTCCTTCGGCTATTTATCTTGTATGTGCAATAGGACCTTATTACTTCGCTGATTGATTCTCTGTAGAGTCACATCTCTTCTCGCTCCCTGTTGCCTGTCCCTAAACAATGAAAGGGATGTTTCATTGGTCTTTTCAGGGTTTTGAGGAAGTGGGACTTTGTAAACATGGCTCAATTATATGCTTTAGTCTTTTCCAAGTTACCTTCAAATGATGGGCAAATAGATGGAGAGAACGCCTTAGATAGTGAGTGGGTTTAGTGAGAAGTTGCCTCTTTAAAAGGGAATGTGAGGTGCTGGCTTTATGGTGTGCAGCAGATTGCTGCCGCTTGGGACACTGCCTGGAGTGCCAGGTTCAAGTCTGACTACTCTGAGCTTCAGATTCGGCTCCCTGCTAATGCACTGGGAGGCAGTACTCATATTCCTGCCACCTACGTGGGAGACCACCATGGAGTTCCTGGCTCCTGACTTTTCACCTAGCGCAGCCCTGACTGTTGCAGACATTTGAGGAGTGAACCAGCAGATGGAAAAATCTTTTTTTTTTTTTAAATCTCTGTTTCTCCCTCTCTCTCTCTCTGTGTCACTCTGCCTTTTAAATAAATAACTAAAAAAATGGAATATGAGCTCAAAAAGTTGGATGACTGCCAGTAAATTGTAAGGTTAAGAATTTCCATTAATTTTTTTCTAGCCTGGGATGGGGAAGGATGTAAGATGTTCCACTTAATTATATATTTTTTGTTTTATTATGTGAGAGTTAAACAGTACCTTTCCATTTCAGTTAAACGATTGCTTATTTCCCCAAGTGTATCTGACTTTCCTTTCTTTTTCTCCCTCCTTTTGTAGGAAGGAGAAAGGCATTTGGCCTCTCCTCTTCCTCTAGTCTGACACCTCCCCCTACGTTTTTGCCCCTCCCTTTTATCTTTGTTAACTTATCAGCCTCTCCCTAAAGCCCTGCTTTCTCCTTATATGGCTAGGTGCAGTGTCTTTGGCAAAGTTGCAAAAGGATCCAGGTAAGTAGCTCTGCCTGTCTCAGACTCAGGTTTGAGAGAAAATTTAATGTTATCTGTCCCAGTGGAGGGCCTGGAGAAGCACGTGGGTTATGGGGGAGGAGAAGGAGGCGGCCTGGCCTGAGAGATCAGAAGGACTTGTTAGACGAGTCCTGTGTGTGTGTCATGCATGCTCCAGAGAGAAGCAGGTTTTGTTTCTTTCCAAACCCTTTCAGTACTGGGCCCCCTCTGGAGCTGAGAACCACACCCTTCCTTTGCTTCAAAGCCTGCCCAGCATTTAGCCATTTTTGTATGTTATGGTTTGGGGGGTTCCCGCAATATTTGGGTAAGGAAGAGAGGAAGAAGAATGTTTTCTCTGTCTCTGAGGTCACAGTGGTATGGATTTTTCTTTGTTTCCTTTTTTTTTTCTTCCTTATTTTGTTAAGACACAGTAAAAGTCCTGATGGGTAACTTTGAGTTCAGATAAGATAAGTCAAGTTTAAGGTGCTCTACTTACCCATAGAGATGGCCAACCTGAAGTAGGCCTCCTTTCAAAAGGAGTATTATATTTGTTTTTCAAATTCCTTCTCTTTTGATACTCTAATCAGAATGTATTGTTCTTTGCTAAGAGGAGAGTGATTTTCCCAAACTCTGATAATTGATCAGAAAAATTCATGGTGGGCTCAGTTGAGACCTAGTCCTTTTGTGAAAAATAAGAATCTTCTGGTCACCCTTTTGGGTGCTCTGAATGGAGAAGCTGGGCCCACCATGAAGCCAGACTTGAAGGGAAGCACAGAAACTGCTAGTATTAAGACAAGGCCTTTTTCAGAATAAAGGCTTTGTGACTTTGAGAGAGCTCAGTGGAGACTGGATTGTGAAGTATGTATTTAGATCTTAATGAAAATTAGCTGCAGGACTTGAGGTTAGCATGGAATTGGGCTTTCTTGGTAAAGTGAGAAAGACTAGAATTGTTCTGAGCTTGAGAAGGTGGAACACTAGATGAGGGTGGGGCAGGGTACTTAGACTTTGGACTCCAGTACACTCACTCTTCCTGATAAAAAGCCATAGAAAAACTGTTGACAAAATATATTTCTTTGATTTAGAAGCAAAATGACAACTGTGTATGTTATGGTTGAACAAGAATAATTGCATTGAATTAAGGGGCAAGTGCCAGTTAAGGGAAATAAATGTCTTTTTATTTTCAAAGAAATATCTTAAGTTTCTTTTTTTTTTTTTTTAAAGATTTTCTTATTTATTTGAAAATCAGAGTTACATAGAGAGAGAAGGAGAGGCAGAGAGAGAGAGAGGTTTTCCATCTGCTGCTTCACTCCCCAGTTGGCCGCTGATCCAAAGCTGGGGGCCAGGAGCTTCTTCCAGGTCTCCAGTGTGGGTGCAGTGCTCCAAGGACTTGGGCCATCTTCTACTGCTTTCCTAGGCTGTAGCAGAGAGCTGGATCAGAGGTGGAGCAGCCGGGACTCAAACCAGTGCCCATATGGGATGCCGGCACTGTAGGCAGCGGATTTACCCCCTATGCCACAGCACTGGCCCCAAAATATCTTATTTCTAGAAGACTCTTCTGGCTTAAATGTTACATACTACAGTTCTAGAATATTATAGGTACTATATTTGATTGGTTGATAATGTTCAGTAGGAGGGTCGGTATGGTTTTAAAAAAATTTGCATTGGCCGGCGCTGCGGCTCAATAGGCTAATCCTCTGCCTGCAGCGCTGGCACCCCGGGTTCTAGTCCCGGTCAGGGCGCCGGATTCTGTCCTGGTTGCCCCTCTTCCAGGCCAGCTTTCTGCTGTGGCCTGGGAGTGCAATGGAGGATGGCCCAAGTGCTTGGGTCCTGCACCCCATGGGAGACCAGGAGAAGCACCTCTCTCCTGGCTTTGGATCAGCGCAGTGCATTGGCCGTAGCGCGCCGGCAACGGCGGCCACTGGAGGGTGAACCAAAGGCAAAGGAAGACCTTTCTCTCTGTCTCTCTCTCTCACTGTCCACTCTGCTTGTCAAAAAAAAAATTGCCTTGGAACTTTATTTTTTTAAGATTTATTTATTTGAAAGGTGTGGCACAGTGGGTTAAAGCCCTTGGCCTGAAGTGCCGGCATCCCATATGGGTGCTGGTTCAAGATTTGGCTGCTCCACTTCCGATCCAGCTCTCTTTTTTTTTTTGGAGCTGGACTGGAAGAGGAGCAACCAGGAGTAGAACCCAGGGTGCCGGTGCCGCAGGCGAAGGATTAGCTTACTGAGCCGCAGTGCCTGCCAGCCCTCTGCTATGGCCTGGGAAAGCAGTAGAAGATGGCCCAAGTCCTTGGGCCCCTGTACCCGCTTCGGATCGCTGCAGCTCTGGCTATTGCAGCCAACTGGAGAGTGAACCATCAGATGAAAGACTTATCTCTCTCTGCCTCTCCTCTTTCTGTGTCTTTCAAATAAATAAAGAAAGAAATCTTTTGGCGGGGGGGGGGGGGGGACAGAGAGAGAGATCAATCTTGCATCTGCTTGTTCATTCCTCAAATGACCACAACAGCTCGGGCTGGGCCAGGCTAAATCCAAGAGCCTGGAACTCCATCCAGGTCTCCCGTCTCCCACATTAGTGGCAGGGGCCCACACACTCAGGCCATCTTCCTCTGCTTTCCCAGGAGGAATAGCAAGGAGCTGGATCAGAAGCGGAACAGCTGGGAATAGAATAGTCGCTCACATGGGGTGCCAGCATCACAGGTGTCAGCTTAACCTGCCATGCCACAATGCCTTATTATTCTTTTTTTTTTTTTTTTTTAATTTGACAGGCAGAGTGGACAGTGAGAGAGAGAGAGAGAGAAAGAGAGAGAGAAAGGTCTTCTTCCTTTTTCCGTTGGTTCACCCCGCAATGGCCGCTGTGGCCGGCGTGCTGCGGCTGGCGCACTGCGCTGATCCATAGCCAGGTGTTTCTCCTGGTCTCCCTTGCGGGTGCAGGGCCCAAGAACCTGGGCCATCCTCTACTGCACTCCCGGGCCACAGCAGAGAGCTGGACTGGAAGAGGAGCGACCAGGACAGAATCCGGTGCCCCGACCGGGACTAGAACCCTGTGTGCTGGCGCTGCAGGCGGAGGATTAGCCTATTGAGCCATGGCGCTGGCCAATTATTGTTAATATTAAAAAAAAATTGCTCATTTTTGTTTTATTTAAAAAGCAGAGAGAGAAATAATTTCTCACCCACTTGTTTACTCCCCAAATGCAGGCAATAGCCCGGGCTGAGCCAGACAGGCTGAAGCCAGGAGCCTGGAACTTGTGCTTCACCCAGCTCTCCCATGTGAGTAGCAGGGACCCAAGTACTTGAGCCATCATTTGCAGCCTCCTTTGGTACATGTTAGTGGGAAGCTGGAATCTGAAATGGAGCTGGAACTCAAACCCAATCACTCAGATATGGGATGTGAGCATCTCAAACAGCTTATCTACTGTGTCAAAGACCTGCTCCTTAACACATTTAATTAAAAAAATTTATTTTGGAATAGTTTTAAATTTACAAAACAAATTATGAAATTGTACAAAGCGTTCACAAATACCCCCTATATAACTTTCCCTGTTGTTAACATTAGTATATCACAATCTATAAACCACCTCCAATTTCCCCTATTTTTAAAAAATATCCAAACTTCCTCTATCATTCCCACTGTTTCCAGCTTCTAGTCGTTAATATTCTGTTCATATTGACAGTTTTCTTTTTTAGCTCAATATATGAGGGAGAACATGTATTTTTAAAAAAGATGTATTTATTTATTTGAAAGTCAGTTACACAGAGAGAGAAGGAGAGGCAGAGAGAGAGGTCTTCCATCTGCTGGTTCACTCCCCAATTGGCCACAATGCCGGAGCTAAGCTGATCCAAAGCCAACAGCCAGAAGCTTCTTCTGGGTCTCCCACGTGGGTGCAGGGAGTTGGACTTGGCCCATCTTCTGCTGCTTTCCCAGGCTGTAGCAGAGAGCTGGATCAGAAGTTGAACAGCTGGGACTCCAACCAGTGCCCATATGGGCTACCGGCACTGCAGGTGGCAGGCAGCTTTACCTGCTGTGCCACAGCACAATAGATGCCACAGTGTTCACTTCTTCTATGTATTTTTATTTCTATATTTGATAGAAAAGAAAGCTGGGACTTAGAATGACTAAGTGGTATACTTTACCCAAAATCATATAGCTAATAGACAATAGAGGTGGGACTTAAATCCGGTTAAATTCCCAAGCTTGCTTGCTTGCTTGCTTCCTTCCTTCCTTTCCATCCATCCATCCATCCATCCTTTTGTTTTTGCTTTTTAAGATTTATTTTATTTATTTGAAAGTCAGAGTTACAGGGAGAAAGAGAGCTTTCATCTTCTTGTTCACTCCCGCATGGCCAGGGTTGGGCCAGACAGAAACCAGGAGCCAGGAACTTCTTTCAGGTCACCCACAAGGGTGTAGGGATCCAAACACTTGGGCTGTCTTCTGGACATGGAGCGACTGGGACTCTACCAGTGCCCATATGGGATGCTGACGTTACACACGGTGGCTTTACCCACTATGCGATGCTGGCCTCCCAAACTTATATTCTAAACCTCTAAGAATTGTGATTCCAGGGGCTAGCACTGAGGTGTAATGTGTAAAGGGGCAGTTTGTGACACTGGCATCCCATGTGGGTGCTGATTCCTTGTCCTAGCTGCTCCATTTCTAATCCAACTCCCTGCTGATGGCCTGGGAAAAGCAGTGGAAGATGACCCAAGTGTTTGGGTCCCTGCCACCCATGTGGGAGACCCATATGAATCTCCTGGCCCCTGTCTGGCCCAGTTCTGCCGTTGTGGCCATCTTGAAAATGAACCAGTGGACTGAAGATCTCTTCTTTCTTTCTAACTCTTTCAAATAAAAAACTTAATCTTTTAAAAAAAAAGTTAATTTCAAATTAAATGTCTTCAGCCATTTTATAGTAGAATAAATCATTCCAGAGACTATGCTATTGGTAAATGACTTTTTTCTTCTGCTGCTGCTGGTTGGCATTGTCTGATTGTTTGGTTCTTCTGGGTGTCTGATTCAATTTAACTTCAGAGTTCTTACAGAAAAGACTGAGTTTTTATCTTTGTCAGTGCATGAGTGAAGGAACCTTTCTGGAGACTCTAGGTTGTAGCAGAAAGGTTTTTTTTTTTTTTTAAAGATTTATTTTATTTATTTGAAAGAGAGAGAGAGAGAGACAGTCTTCCATCCACTGGTTCACTCCCCAAATGGCTGCAACGGCTGGAGCTGAGCTAATCCAAAGCCAGGAGCCAGGAGCTACCTCTGGGTCGCCACGTGGGTACAGGAGCCCAAGGACTTGGGCCATCCTCCACTGCCCTCCCAGGTACATTAGCAGGGAGCTGGATCAGAAGTGGAGCAGTCAGGATTCGAACTTGCGCCCATATGGAATGCTGGCACTGTAGGCCAGGGCGCTGACCCACTGTGCCACAGCATCAGCCCTCAGAAAGGTTTTTTGAGTGTAGGTGGGATCCAGTAGCACAGGACCTGTGGCATATTAAGAATAAAACTGGGGCCAGTGCCGCGGCTCACTAGGCTAATCCTCCGCCTGTGGCACCAGCACCCTGGGTTGGGGCGCCGGTTCTGTCCCGGTGGCTCCTCTCCCAGTCCAGCTCTCTGCTGTAGCCCGGGAAGGCAGTGGAGGATGGCCCAAGTGCTTGGGCCCGGCACCTGCATGGGAGACCAGGAGGAAGCACCTGGCTCCTGGCTTCAGATCGGCGCAGTGCGCCAGCCGTGGCAGCCATTTAGGGGGTGAACAATGGAAGGAAGACCTTTCTCTCTGTCTCTCTCTCTCACTGTCTAAATCTGCCTGTCCAAAAAAATAAATAAATAATAAAAAAAAGAGTAAAACTGGGCTGGCGCCACTGCTCATTTGGCTAATCCTCTGCCTGTGGTGCCGGTACCCCGGGTTCTAGTCCCGGTTGGGGTGCTGGATTCTGGCCTGGTTGCTCCTCTTCCAGTCCAGCTCTCTGCTGTGGCCCTGGAAGGCAGTGGAGGATGGCCCAAGTGCTTGGGCCCTGCACCCGCATGGGAGACCAGGAGGAAGCACCTGGCTCCTGGCTTCGGATCAGCGCAGCGTGCCAGCCATAGCGGCCATTTGGGGGGTGAACCAATGGATGGAAGACCTTTCTCTCTGTCTTTCACTGTCTAACTCTGCCTGTCAAAAAAAAAAAAAAAAAAAAAAAGTAAAACTGGCTATTCTCAGAAAATCTAGTCTTAGAGGAATGACATGTTTCACTTTGTATGCCCCCTTTCTCATTTTGGGAATTCCCTGATGGTAATTTTTTTTTTTTTAAGTGACAGCAAGTGTAATTCACATTAAGTAGTAAACCTGGAAACATGTTGTACTGCATTTATTTATTAAGACATTCCTAACTTCATCTGCCAAAGTTAATGGTTTGCAGACTCTGGTCTTCAGTGCAATCTTTTATGAAGTATTGTTTTTCCTCTAGTCTCTTGAGTTTTGAGATCATTGGTTTTCTGTAGCTTCCCTAACAGCTTCTTTCTCTTCCCCACCATGCTTTTCTTCACATTCTCCCACTTGTATTTAGACATCATGGGTAGCTCTTTAGCCTAAAGAAAATGGAAATATTTTCTTCCCCTGTTTTCTTGTAGTGGTTAGGAAGAAAGCTTTCAAAGGTTGCAGGGCACTGGTTGGAGTTATGGCTCGGCAGGTAGACCCCACCACCTGTGATATCAGCATGCCATATGAGTACCAGTTCTTGTCCCAGCTGCTCTACTTCTGATCCATTTCCCTGCTAATGGCCTGGGAAAAGCAGAGGAAGATGGTCCAGGTGCTTGGACCCCTACCACCCATGTGGGAGACCTGGATGAAGTTTCTGGGTTCTGGTTTTGGCCTAGCTCAGACCTGGCCATAGTGGCCATCTGGGAAGTGAACCAGTAGATGAAAGATCTCCCTCCGTCTCTCCCTTTCTCTGTAATTCAGACTTTCAAATAAATAAATCTTAAATAAATAAATAAAGGTTGCAGGGCAGAGGGGCTGAACCATTCTTATACTTCACTTGTTTTTGAACTTGACCACAAGGCCTAGTTAGAGAATGCAGGCTTTGGAATGTCATTGGCATCTTTAAATTTAGAATTTGTATTGATTGTGAATCCTTGGGTCTGTTTTCTCATTTGCCATAAAACTAATTTTCTTAGGATTGTTGTAAGGATTGCCAGAATAATAAATGTAAACTACTAATTGTTAGGTTTTTTTTTTCACATTCCTTTATTGAACTGTGAGGGTCTTCAGTAAGGAATCAAGAATTTACTGTATCAGATGTGTAATGCTGTGATAACTGCCAGGCACTAGAAAAGCCACCTCTGTCCCAGAAACACTGGTCTAGGTGGGACCGCCTAGTAAGTGGATTTGAAGTAGGGAAACCAGCTCATCCACTACTTAGAACCCAGTTATGTTCTTGATTCAGTTAATTTCATTAGTAATTCACAAGATAGTTTGGGGCTGAGACATTTCCATGAAGTCATGTATTTGGAAGATATAAACTAACTCTTGAGATAACTTAATACTTCTCATCTGTGTAGTACGCATCATCTCACCTGATCTTAGAGCAAGTCTGAATTAGACTGGGCTCGTGGTCTTGGCCTCTTAGGGAAGAGAACTCAGCAGGGACTTACTGCCATCGTTCACCAGTGGCAGGACCAAGACTGGGACCCCTCTTCTGAGTTTTATTTTGTCCCCTACAGCTTCTCCTGCCCTCTTTAGGCAGAAAATCTCTCGATTCCTTAAGACCTGAGAGTCAAATCTTGTCTTTCTATGTTTAACTATGCTGTCCTCTTCTCCAAATTAGAGCTGGGTGGTGAGCTTTAAAGCCATGAAAATGGAAGAAGCTAGTATTTCTCAAGTTACTGTTTTCTCTTTTCTCTCCATTTCTTCCTAACTCCCCCTATTGAATTAAAGTTACAGGGGCAAAAAAGTGGCCGTTTATGGCAGAGTGACAACTTCTGTCTTCACCAGAGACTGTTGTCAGTGTATGCTCCTGGTAGTGGTAGTTTGAGCTTTTACTAGCAGAGGAAGATTACAGGGCAGAGGCTGCAGAGTGACAGCTACAGTGCAGGCCCTTTTAAAATTCACTAACCAAAAGAATCTCTTGAGCTCAGAGTCCTTTAGGTGTGGAAAGTTCATAGGTCATGGGGATTAAGGGGGAGGAACTTTTTTTTAAACAAGGAGAGAAAAAGAGAAAGACAAAAAGACACACACACACACACACACACACACACACTGAGGGAGGGGAGAGATAGATCTTCCTTCACTGGGTTACTCTCCAGATGGCCACAACATCCAGGCCTGGGCTTCTATAGCCAAAACCGGGAGTCTGGAACTTCCTCATGGTCTCCCTCATGAGTGGCAGGGCCCCAAACACACCAGCAGCAAGCTGGATTTGAAGTGGAGCTGGCAGGACTTGAACCGGCACTCTGATATGGGATGCCAGTGTTGCAAGGCAAGGCTTAGCCCACTGTAATGCAACATCCTCCCACCCCCGCTTCTTTTAAAATATAAGGATACTTATTATTAAAGACCTTTGAGTGGTGTGTTGGAATGTAGGGTGGGAATATGGGAAAGTAGCAATGGGCTTTGCACTGAAAGGAAGGCCAGGAATTGATAAATGATTGTGGGAGCCTAGAGCTGGGGTAGGAGGAGTTTAGGGAATGGGTACCATACTCTTGGATTTGGAGATTGAATTAATTCAGGAATTTATTGGGCACCAGTTTAATCAGTTTCCTGTGAGTACTCTTGCTTACTGAATGCTATATGCTCTAAGGTAAACAGGCCCAAGCCTTTGTGCCTGGTGGGGCTCTGGGGAGCGTGGGAAAGGCAACTGAAGCAAAAGGCTCAGCCTGGGCCAGTCCCCACATGTCTTCCTCACTGCAACTATTGCGTTGGTTTCTCAATGTCTTTGTGGGCATGCTGGGACTGGGCTTTGAGGTTTCTGCCTTAGGGGTGGGAAGGGGGGGGGAAGGGCATTCTAACAACAGTCTTTCCCCTTCAATTTGGTTGCTGGGAATCGAAGGTAAATGGGCTTCTAGCTATATTATAACTTGTTCCTAGTTCTCTATGAAAGTACAAGTAGAAGAACTCTGACTTGACTGTAGAATCCAAGTTTTAATGAAAACTATATCCAAGGCCCAGGCATATGAACAGAGCAATGTCCAAAGGGCATTTGTCATATTAAGCAATTCCATGTCATATTTTAAATTACTCCCTTTCAATTTTAATGCCTACCCTTGCTCCTCTTGGGTTTTTTTTTTTGTTTGTTTGTTTGTTTTTGGGGATTGGGTGTATTTTATTTTCCTCTCATTCCCATTTTTCTTCCCAATATTTCTGCAGCTCTCTCCTTCCTGCTTCCTCCTTGCTGTGGTGGCTGGGATGCTTCTTCCATGATTGTTTTGAATCTAGACTGGGCTGTTCTCTGTGTTAAATCAATCAGTTACGACATCTTAACAGGTGTGTATGGAAATATGTTTATTAAGAGTAAAACATTTTTAAGTGACTTTTCATAAGGGTGGATGAGCATGTGGGAAATATGGGAGAAGATTTATTCTAAAATTTGCTTTCAACAGTGTATTTTTGGATTTACCATAAAGTCTTCCTTAACTATAAGACAGAAAAGAAAACCCACTAAGTCTAACAGTATGACTGTAATGTCTCATCATTTACTAGTCAATTTGTTGTTTGAATAATAAGGGTATGGGAAGCTCTTCATTTCTATTTAACTGTCATTTGTTGTATAAATATCATATATAACTCTCTAGAGTCTCAGATATTTACCATGAATTGGAACAGGTTAAGATGTAAAAAGATAGTTTATTTGGAACCTTCTGCATGACTACAGAGATACAGGAAGCTCCAGCCATTGACATCTGGAGGTAGGATGTGAGCTACTTCAAGATACAGTTTCAGAGTTTGATCCCAACGATTGTTTTCCTATATTTCAAGAGGTGAAGATCCTTGAAAAGAGTGCCTTTTTACATTTAGAGTTTTTTGTGGTTCTGTTGTTCTCTTCTCTCCATTAATGAAGGCACTTGTTTTCCCTTCAGTGTTGTAGTATAGTTTTAGGAAGTAGAAAGGCTGCTTCATACATGTATTAAGCATGGAGGCCTTAATCTTATGTCCTTCCTTTAACAGTGGGAAGTTTTTTTACTACTTCCATTTCTTAACGGACATTTTAATTTATCATATTCATTTAGTATATTTTGCCACATGTGTAGCAGTTTCAGTGTTCAGGTTTGGGAGACATTGAGTAAAATCTGTACTTCTCCCTTATCCCCAGAAGTGGCTTGTCCAGTAGGACAGAGTACTTTTCTGTACTGTGGAGTTGCAACTTTAATTGGGATGATACCAGCAAAATTTTCTAGGGAAAAATAATCTAATCTCATGTCCTGGCAACAGCACTGAGCCCCCTTATCCCTGTCCTACCAACAGTACATACTTGCATCTAGTTGGCCCTTCCTTTCTGTAGTTAATTCTGTTAGGGTATTGAGGAGGATGGTAGGAGAAGGATCCTGCTTGAGCAGACACTGGTGATGGGCTTGGTGGTGGCTTGCTTTCTGCATTGCAATAAAAGCACAGTAGAGCATCTTTGGCTCCGGGATTAATAATTCATCTGTCTTCTCTGACCTGTGACCTTTTCTCCCCTTTCTCCTATCGTTCCCAGTAGTCTGAAGTGAGGGAGGCCTCTCCCTCCTTCCTCCTCCCTCTGTGACCCGCCTTCCCTTTTACCCTGCCCCGTGGCGGCTCCTCCCCTTACCTCCATGGACGACTCGGAGGTGGAGTCGACCGCCAGCATCTTGGCCTCTGTGAAGGAACAAGAGGCCCAGTTTGAGAAGCTGACCCGGGCGCTGGAGGAGGAGCGGCGCCACGTCTCGGCGCAACTGGAACGCGTCCGGGTCTCGCCACAAGATGCCAACTCGCTCATGGCCAACGGCACCCTCACCCGCCGGCATCAGGTAACCCCTCTCTCCATCAGACCTGCAGGTAGGAGTTTGGCCTGGTCACAGCAAAGCTATGGTTCTTCTTGGCACGCTTCTGTTCTCTTGGTGATGGACCGTCCAGTGCCCATGCTTCACGACTCTTTCAAGGGGGATAAATATTGATTAAGAGATGAGGCATGTTGCTTCTGTGCTTAGTTGAATGGATTTTCTGGGTTAGGGTGCAACTCCTGTAATTGTAGCTAGTATAGCTTGGAGGTACACTCAAGTTACTTGTTTTCTGTGATGATTTTTTTTTTCTTCTTGGTATCAAAAGCTCAGCAAAGGAAATTCCTGCTTAGTCGTTGGGGAAGTTGGGCCTCTTATGCTCTCAGCTCCAGTTGAGTCTCCTTCAAGGGACAGTCTGTTCTCAGAAGGTGTGGCAGTGTCTATAAATTGTGTATTCTTGCTCCTTATGGTCCTGTGTGCTCTTTTTGGTGCTGTATAAATCATGTCTGGGAGGAGGGGGGTCATTGTTGGTTAGAGTTGGAGAGAGAACATCATGCTGCTGTTTAACCCAGATAACCACAGGAGCCAGTGGTCTCTGGATTGGCAACTCTGTGATGTGACTTGGGAGAGTTGGTCTTAGAAATGAGAAGTATCTTGTGTTCCCTCTGGTTTTTCTAGTCTGACCTGACTGTGACGTAATCTGTCTGAGCTTGTGGGGTGTGTGTGTGTGTGTGTGTGTGTGTGTTGGGGGATAGAGAGGAGAGAGGCATTATATCTTTTTTTTTTTTTTTTAAGATTTGTTTATTTTTTTGAAAGGCAGAGTTAAAGAGAAGCAGATGAATAGAAAGAGAGAGAGGTCTTCCATCTTGCTGGTTCACTCCCCTGATGGCCTCAATGGCTGGAGCTGGGCCTATCTGAAGCCAGGAGCCTGGAGCCTGGAGCCTCTTCCCGGTGCAGGGGCCTAAAGACTTGGGCCATCTTCCACTGCTTTCTCAGGCCACAGCAGAGAGCTGGATTAGAAGTGGAGCAGCTGGTACTCAAACTGGCACACATATGGGATGCCGGCACTGCTATGCCACAGCGCCAACCCCAGCATTATATCTTTTTTTTTTTTTTTTTAGATTTATTTATTTGAAAGACAGAGTTATAGAGAGAGGTAGAAACAGAAAGAGAGGTCTTCTATCTGCTGGTTCACTCCCCAGATGGCTGCAATGGCTGGAGCTGCGCTGATCAGGAGCCAGGAGCCCCTTCCGGGTCCCCACATGGGTGCAGGGGCCCAAGGACTTGGGCCATCTTCTACTGCTATCCCAGGCCATAGCAGAGAGCTGAATCAAAAGAGGAGCAGCTGGGACTAAAACCGGCACCCATATGGGATGCCAGCACTTCGGGCCAGGGCTTTAACCTGCTGTGTCACAGCGCTGGCCCCCCAGCATTACATCTTAAGAGATCCCTCTGATTCCTGGGTGGTAACTAGAACAGTGGTCATGCCCCATTATTGATTATTGTTTAATATAGTGAGATTCCTCATGCCAAGGAGTTTTACAGTTGGGTTATATGAAAATAGAGTACAGGGTTAGGAATGAGATGTATATATTGAAAGGGTAGATCAGGACTATTCAGGCTTGGAGGTGGTGGGGAATTCCAGGATTTAGCTCATAGTTTCTCTTTTCTTACTCTCTTATTTTTAACTTCTGCTCAGCTATGAAACCACACCCTTCCTTTTTCCTGAAAGTAATGTTTAACTTCCCCTCCCTGCAGCATTATACTCTGTATGTAATAGGAGGGTGTGGGAGGAGTCTCCCGAGGTGGCCGTATTAGGAGGAATATTTTGTGTAGTGTATTATCATCAAATTATCTTGTGGTACTTCAGACAGAACAACTCAGGGATGACATCTTGGAATGTGGTTCTAGTAACTGATGTAGATGTTGAAAGTTCAGTTTTGGGAGTATTAGGGTACCTGCTTTCTCACGTTAGGAGAGGAAGACTCATCTCTTGCTTCTTTCTTTTAAAAGCTGCCTACAGTGGGAGTTTCCACTAGTATCAGCGCATGAAGATTCATGGGAACAATACAGAGGCTTTTGGAAAACCCCCAATATAGCCTTTCCAACTTTCCTTATATTCTTTTTTTTTTTTTTTTTTTTAATTATTTGACAGGTAGAGTTAGAGAGAGAGAGACAGAGATAAAAGTCTTTCTTCCGTTGTGTTCACCCCCAAGATGGCCGCCACGGCTGGAGCTTTGCCGATCCGAAGCCAGGAGCCAGGAGCCAGATGCCTCCTCCTGGTCTCCCATGGGGTGGGGTGCAGGGCCCAACCACTTGGGCCATCCTCCACTGCCCTCCTGGGCCACAGTAGAGAGCTGGACTGGAAGAGGAGCAACCGGGACTAGAACCCGGCGCCCATATGGGATGCCAGCGCTGCAGGCAAAGGATTAACCAAGTGAGCCGCGGCACTGGCCCCATCTTACTGCTTTCTAACAAGATGACCTGTAGGGAAACTTGGATAAGTTCTCTGCTGTTTACTTGGCAAATTGTTGAGTCCCTATTATGTGCCAGGCACTGCTCAAGGCATTAGGGATACGTCCTTAAGCAAAACTGACCAAAAAGCCCTCATGGAATTTCTGTTCATACATTCTAGAGACCCAGTCCATCAGTTATAGGCCTGATTGTCATTTTGAGCAAAGTGCTAAGACTAAGAAACAATGTGGTTCTTTTGTGAGTACTGACAAGGATTCCAGACCACAAATACCTTCTTGAAAGCCCTTTTCCTGTTTGGAAAAAAAAGATGCTTGTATTTGATAGAGCAAAAGAAGGCCACAAAATGAATTGTCTTCTTGTGGGCTGTATTTCAGAACGGCCGGTTTGTGGGCAATGCTGACCTTGAAAAACAGAAATTTTCAGATTTGAAAGTCAACGGACCCCAGGTAATTCTTTTGGCTTGAGGCTTAACTTCCCTAGCCTATAAGAGCACGTTGGTGTCTTGTGAAGTGCCTGGCACATTGTAAACACCTTTTAATTAGTTTATTTCATTTAGGGAGATAAGAAAGTGGAACTGCAAACTGTATATGTAGTTTTGTTTGAAATGACTTTTAATGATCATTGACCTTTTTTTTTTTAAGATTTATTTATTTATTTGAAGGTCAGAGTTACACAGAGAGAAGGAGAGGGGGAGAGAGAGAGAGATCGTCCATTCGTTGGTTCACCTCCTAATTGGCTGCAATGGCCCAAGCTGCGCCAATCTGAAGCCAGGAGCTAGGAGCTTCTTCCAGGTCTCCCACGTGGGTGAAAGGGACCAAGGCCTTTGGCCATCTTCTACTTCTTTCCCAGGCCATAGCAGAGAGCGGGATAGGAAGTGGAGCAGCCGGGTCTTGAACCGGCACCCATATGTGATGCCAGCACTTCTGGCCAGGGCTTTAACCTGCTGTACCATGGCGCCGGCCCCGATCATTGACTTGTATCACTCTCTCTCCCTTCCCCCTATTTGATCCCTAGGTTTGGCATTCTTTTCCTCCCTTTTTTTTTTTTTTTTTAAGATTCATTTATTTTATTTGAAAGAGTTACACACAGAGAGGCAGAGAGAGAAAGAGAGAGAGAGAGAGAGGTCTTCCATTCGCTGGTTCATTTCCCAATTGGCTGCAACGGCTGGAGCTGCACCGATCTGAAGCCAGGAGCTAGGAGCTTCTTCCAGGTCTCCCGCGTGGGTGAAAGGGCCCAAGGACTTGGGCCATCTTCTACTGCTTTCCCAGGCCATAGCAGAGAGTTGGACAGGAAGTGGAGCAGCTGGGTCTTGAACTGGCACCCATATGGGATGCAGGCACTGCAGGTGGCGGCTTAACCCACTACACCGTAGTGCCGACCCCTGGCATTCGTCTTCTAGAGAGAGCGTGCTTCTACTTTGCAGAAACCCCTACTCAAAATGTGACTGGTCTTGTGCTTTTGGTATTGTTTGGAGGTTAACATTAGAGCTAGTCAAAAGAAGACCCCTAATGGGGTTTTCTGTATTTTTTTTTTTAATTTTTTTAAAATTTAATTTTATTTAGGCTGGTGCCGTGGCTCACTAGGCTAATCCTCCGCCTTGCGGCGCCGGCACACCGGGTTCTAGTCCTGGTTGGGGCGCCGGATTCTGTCCCGGTTGCCCCTCTTCCAGGCCAGCTCTCTGCTGTGGCCAGGGAGTGCAGTGGAGGATGGCCCAGGTGCTTGGGCCCTGCACCCCATGGGAGACCAGGATAAGCACCTGGCTCCTGCCATCGGATCAGCGCGGTGCGCCGGCTGCAGCGCGCCAGCTGCGGTGGCCATTGGAGGGTGAACCAACGGCAAAGGAAGACCTTTCTCTCTGTCTCTCTCACTCACTGTCCACTCTGCCTGTCAAAAAAAATTTAATTTTATTTATTTTAAAAGTGTATAGAGAGATAGAGACAGAGATCTTTTGTTTGCCGGTTCACTCTCCAGATGTCCACAACAGCTGGGGTTTGGCTAGGCTGCTGAAGCAAGGAGCCAGGAACTTGGGCTGGATCTCCATTTGGGTGGCCAGGACCCATGTATTTCAGCCATCATATGTTGCCTCCCAGGGTGTGCATTATCTGGAAACTGGAATGGGAAACAGCTGGGACTCAAATCCAGGATATAGTCGTCCCATGTCATGTCTTAACAGGTGCACCAAACACTTGCTACCGGTTTATCTTAGAAGTTCTTTACTGGGTGAGCTACTCTTTTCAAGGGTCGCTCAGATATAGATGTAACTATAGTTAATACAGCTCGTATTCATTTAGATGACCAGAATTGGGAAATAAAATCTGCTTTCTCTGTCATTTGGATGTCAGTATGGCTGTTGTTAACTCAGTTCATGTTTCTTAAATGACTTGTACTGGGAAGTTATATATACCGTCTTTTATTTTTGTAAGACTTACTTATTTATTTGAAAGGCAAAGAGAGGGAGGGAGTGAGTGATGGAGGGAGAGAGAGAAAGAGAAGAGAGAAAGGAAAAGGTGTTCCATCTGCTGGTTAACTCACCAAATACCAGCAACAGCTGGGGCTGAGCCAGACCAAAACCAGGAGTCAGGAGCTCTCTTCGGGTCTCCCATATGGGTGGCAGGAATCCAAGTACTTGAGCCATCATCAGCTGCCTCCCAGGCACATTAACAGGAAGCTGGATCAGAAGCATGGAGTTGTGGGAACTTGAACCAGGCACTGCAGTATGTGATGTAGGCCTTTCAAGTGGCAACTTAACCCACTGTGCCACAACACCCACCCCTCTACTATCTTTTTGTACAAGTTAGAAAGATGATAGATGCTGCTTTCTAAAAATATAAAGATCTATGGAAAATGCATGAGGAGTCCCTGTTTCCAGGACTACTACTACTTATTGGGTTGGACTTGATAATACATAGAGTTTGATAGTAACTTCTTCCTTTTCTTCTTTTCCATGTAGGATCACAGTCACCTTCTTTATAGCACCATCCCCAGGATGCAGGAGCCGGGGCAGATTGTGGAGACCTATACAGAGGAGGACCCCGAGGGAGCCATGTCTGTTGTCTCTGTGGAGACTTCAGATGATGGGACCACTCGGCGCACAGAGACCACAGTAAGCATGAGGTCTTGGAGTGACAGGAGAGGTCTTCCTATAGTCTCCACTAGGGAGGTGGGGTTAAAAACTTACTTAGGGTAGATGAAGGACCACAGTGGTGATGGCAGGTGATAGCTGACCAGATGGAAAAGAGATATGGGAAAATCTAATGGAATTAGAGACAGTGTATCAAGGTCTGTATTTAGCTTCCTTTACAGTTTTAGTCCTGACGGGACCATTTTCTTGCTTGGAGACTTTCTTTTTTCTTTACTTTTTTTTTTTTTTTAAGATTGGTTTATTTGAGAGTAGAGTTACAGAGAGAGGGAGAGACAGAGAGGTCTTCCATCTGCTGCTTCACTTCCCAAATGGCCGCAATGGCTGGAGCTGGGCTGATCTGAAGCCATGAGTCAGGAGCTTCTTCCAAGTCTCCCACGCATGTGCAGGGCCCAAGAACTTGGGCCATCTTCTACTGCTTTCCCAGGCCATAGCAGAGAGCTGAATTGGAAGAGAAGCAGCTGGGCATGAACTGGTGTCCATATGAGAAGATGGTGCCGCAGGAGGAGGTTTTGCCCACTATGCCAAAGCACCCTGCTTGGAGACTGACTATAAGATAGAAGGAAAGAAAGGTCGATGGTAGACTGTAAGGAGTTTCTACATAAAGTGATCTAGAGGTGGTATTTGTTTCTCTTCTCATAGTGATCTAGAATTTAAGCTTATCAGTCAACTTTCTTCATTAGTTTTTCTTTTTCATGTTTCTTTTTGAAGGTCAAGAAAGTAGTGAAGACTGTGACGACACGGACTGTACAGCCAGTCCCCATGGGACCAGATGGGCTGCCTGTGGATGCTGCGTCAGTTTCTAACAACTATATCCAGACTTTGGGTCGTGACTTCCGCAAGAATGGCAATGGGGGCCCTGGTCCCTATGTGGGGCAAGCAGGCACTGCTACCCTCCCCAGGAACTTCCACTACCCTCCTGATGGATATAGCCGCCACTATGAAGATGGGTATCCAGGTGGTGGTGACAACTATGGCAGTCTGTCCCGGGTGACCCGCGTTGAGGAGCGGTATAGGCCCAGCATGGAAGGCTACCGGGCACCTAGTAGACAGGATGTTTATGGGCCCCAGCCCCAGGTTCGGGTGGGTGGGAGCAGTGTGGATCTGCATCGCTTTCACCCAGAACCTTATGGGCTAGAGGATGACCAGCGAAGCATGGGTTATGATGACCTGGATTATGGCCTGATGTCTGATTATGGCACAGCCCGTCGGACTGCGACACCCTCTGACCCTCGCCGACGCCTCAGGTAGGCAAGATTAGAGGAAGATAAGGGTATTTCCAAAACAAGGAAAAGGGGTAGCTTTTCTTTCTGAGCCTTTGAGGGATCAGAGACATTTGTGGCTCCTTCTGCTATGCCCTTTTTTCCCCCTCCCTGTGGAAAGCCTTATTTTTTCCCTTTTTAGAGTTTGCTTAGTATTGACTTACTATTGTCTTTTTTGCATTATGAAAGTTGGATGTTCTAATTACAGAAAATGATTTGTGGTGGCTATTGGTCTGTGTCCTAAAGGATGAATTTTGATTGTATGCTACAGTTTCTGCCTTTCTGGCTAAGATCTGACCCTTTCTGATGATCGAGAGGTGCCTGTTGCCTGGACTCATGGAATATTCCCTGTCTTATTCTTTGAATTTCCTTAACTTCTGGTTTGGTATTAAGAATAGAGTTGAGGGGCCAGCGTTGTGGCATAGTAGGCTAAGCCTCTGCCTGCTTGCTGGCATCCCATATGGGTACCAATTCATGTCTTGGCTGCTCCTCTTCTGATCTAGCTGTCTGTCATGGCCTGGGAGAGTAGTAGAAAATGGCCCATGTGCTTGGGGTCCTGTACCCACATGGGAGACCCAGAAGAAACTCCTGGCTTTGGATCTGCCTAGCTCTGGCTGTTGCGGCCATTTGGGGAGTGAACCAGCAGATGGAAGCTCTCTCTCTCTGTAACTCTACCTCTCAAAAGAAGAGTTGAGTTTTAGGCTTTTGGAGCCAGGAGAGATAAGGGTGTATATAACAATTCTCACAGTGGTTCTAATCTATGTTAAAAACAGATCTTGACCTCATATGGACCCTGACAACTTTGTGCTTAGAGTCTTACATATAAAGTGAAGCGGGGGTGGCATCTGTGAGGGGTACATTATCAAAAATGCTGACAGTTTCCTAAGCAGTTGCATACTCTGAGTTTTCTTGTTCTTGGGTATTCTTTGGTGATATGAAAAGGCAGTGAATGATGTTTGGACTGGTAGATGTGTTGCCTTGCTACCTTGATAGAACGCTTTAGAAGAGGGTTGGTAGATGTTTTCTAAAGGACCTGTTTTAGGCTTTGTGGGCTATAAATCATAATTCTTGTCAAATGTTCTGGTTTTTTTTCTTAAGCTTTTAAAAATTATAACTTATGTGAAAATAAGTTTGGTTCATGAGCTATAAGCCCTGCTTTAGAATTACCAGTGAATATTTTCTAGGCAAAGAGGAATAGTAAGAAATAAGGGAAGGTTTACAGCTATCTTGATGGTAAGAGTTCTCTGGTAGTTGTTGCTGAATTTCTGTATGTGGGGTCATGACCTTCTAAAGTGAATGGCTTGGTGCTTATTTTCCTCATATATTAGGTAGTATTAGCTAATAGTGAATTGGGCTGGGTGCAGGAGTAGAGGCCCCATTATCTAAGCCTGAGTCACTCACCTTTCAGGTGTCTTGGGTAGCTAATCCACCTCCCCTGTGACTCACCTTTTATTCCTGGAGGGGTACCAGACTTCAGCTGGTGCAAGCTAGAGCGATGGTGAATAACAGCTATCACTGAAGCAGTCTGACTAGGGTGTTGGCTCCAGTGTAAGTCTGCTTTTTCTGACTTCCTCATTAGTGAAGAGTAATTGGACCCACGTGAGTGTGCCTGGCTAGGTCTTTTTTTTTTTTTTTTTAACTGTGGCGGTTGACATAGAGAGGATTTTGAGCCTGGTTCTTGGCTTTGTTCCAGGGTTGCATTGGACTTAAACCTGTTGACTAGCAAGAACATTTGCTGCTTCCTGTTCCAGCCCTAGGAGAGTAATACAAGGTTAAACTCAAACCGAGGCTGTGATTACTTTGGTTCTGGCTGTTCCTCAGCCACTAGCTATGTGTTCTTAAGCAAGTCATTTGATCTGAGTACAGCTGTTATTTGTACAACAAAAGAAAAAATATCTTTATCCACTGTCTATATATGAAGGACATGTAAGATAGAAGTCTCCTGAGTGACTTAAGTCTGGTAATAATTGCTTTTGTAATGTTTATATTGAAATAAAAGTAAAATATGCTCAAAACAGAGCTGGAAAAACCCAGAAAAGCACACCATCCACTGATAAAGAATCACTGTTAACATGTTGTTGCATTTCCTTTGGATTCTTTTTCCTGTATGTGGAAACAAATCTACCATGTTTTTCTTTTTTTTTTTCTGCTACTAAAATAGAATTTTATAACATGCAGTCTAGTAGCCTGGTTTTAAAACAACCATATAACCTGTTTATTTTGTTTTAATGTTATTTTAAGAGTCTTTTTAAACTAAATTCCTTGTTCCTCTGAATCAGTGTTGAGTGGTTGATGTTGATACCTGAAGCAGATCTGCTCAGGATAACCTTGAATGTTTGGTGACAGTGGGGGTGGTTTTGCGGAACAAACTACAGTCTTACTTGGAGAGGTCTGTACAATAGATTCTCCTCCAGTGGGAGCTAGAGAGACGACTCACAGATAAAGGAATGGATTTCTTCTTCCTGGTGGTTATGAATAAATAATAGTGTGACAGACTCACCCTCTAGTGGTGGTTAGTAGTACTGAAACAGGAAGAATCTGGTTTGACTTTTCTCTTACCTTCATTTGCTTTGTCTCTGTTCCTTTTGGCTGGGCATCCTACATGATAGTTGGAGATATTGCCTTTAGAAAATGAAAGATGAAAATCATTGCAAACATTTGTTGAGCAGCAGAAATGGATTGCGTTGAACTGTGAAAATTAATCTTCAAGCTTATAACTCATCAGTACCAAAGATAGATCTACATATGATGTAGCAAGAAGTCCTTTATTATTATTTATTATTTTCTTTATCCTATTCTGAAAATAGGAAAGGAGATGCTTGAATACTTCAATGTGTGTAAGGGTTTTATCCCTGTTTCCTATGTGTTAATACCTCATTTCCTGTTTAGTGAAGGGCTAGTAAGATCTGTTCTCATACTTTGCCGACTTCTGTGGTGTTGAGTCCATTGCTTTGGTTAACTTTGGTGTCCTGAAGAATTTTTTTTCTTTTTAAAGATTTATTTATTGGGATAAAGCCGCTGCCTGCAGTGCCGGCATCCCATATGGGCGCCGGGTGCTGGTTCGAGTCCTGGCTGCTCAGCTTCCTATTCTGCTCTCTCCTATGGCCTAGGAAAGCAGTGGAAGATGGCCCAAGCCGTTGGATCCCTGCCACCCGCATGGGAGATCTGGAGAAGGTTCTTGCTTCCTGGCTTCAGATCGGCACAGCTCCTGCTGTTGTGGCCACCTGGGGAGTGAGGGATGGAAGACCTCTCTCTGCCTCTCTGTAACTCTGCCTTTCAAATAAATAAATACATCTTTTTGTTTGTTTGTTTAAATCTATTTATTTATTTGAAAGGCAGAGAGAGCAAGAGAGAGATCTCGAGATTTTCATCCACTGGCTCACTTCCCAAATGGCTGAAACAGCTGGGGCTGGGCCAAGCCAAAGCCAGGAACCAGGAACTCCATCCGGGTCTCCCATGTGGGTGCAGGGGCCCAAGGATTTGGGCCATCTTCTGCTGCTGGGAGCTGGATCAGAAGTGGAGTTAGCTGGGACTTGAACCAAGGCTCGTTTTGGATGATGGTATCACAGGTGGTGGCCCAACCTACCATGCCGCAATGCCAGCCCCTGAAGGCTTATTTTAATCTATCTAGAGAAGTTAACAGCTGCTGACAAATAAATGCTGATTAATCAGGATTTGGTTCTTCTGTGATTAACTTTGTTAAATGCCTGTTACCGTTCTGAGCCAAACTTCATAGAAAAAAGAAGGTAGTTTTAAGCCAATTGCAGGTGCCTTTGAAATTACTCTAATTTTTCCTGTCTCATTAAAGGAAAATTGATCAGGATATCATTCATGCAGATAAGATCAGTGTCCTAGAGCTGAGGTTTATCTTTCCTTAGAGGTGAATGGTAATGAGAATGTTCAGCAAAGCTAGACTTGATGTATTTCTCTTTTCTCTTGGTTCTTCCAAAACGTTGCAGGAGCTATGAGGACATGATTGGTGAGGAGGTGCCTTCGGATCAGTACTATTGGGCTCCTTTGGCCCAGCACGAGCGAGGAAGCTTAGCAAGCTTGGATAGCCTGCGTAAGGGAGGGCCCCCTCCTCCCAACTGGAGACAGCCAGAGCTGCCAGAGGTGATTGCCATGCTGGGATTCCGCTTGGATGCTGTCAAATCCAATGCAGCTGCATACTTGCAACACTTGTGTTACCGCAACGACAAGGTGAAGACCGACGTGCGGAAGCTCAAGGGCATCCCAGTACTGGTGGGATTGTTAGACCACCCAAAAAAGGAAGTACACCTTGGAGCCTGTGGAGCGCTAAAAAATATCTCTTTTGGGCGTGACCAAGATAACAAAATTGCCATAAAAAACTGTGATGGTGTTCCTGCCCTTGTGCGGCTGCTGCGAAAGGCTCGTGATATGGACCTCACTGAAGTCATTACTGGTAAGTCCTAGGCCTAAGGAAAATTGCTAGATTAAGGTCATTGGGAGCTATAAGAGTTTCCAGTTCTTGTACTTTTGATAAAAGTTGAGCTGGGTCAGATCCAATTTTTTTTTTGAGATCTGTACATTTTATTTATTTTGCAAATCTGAGGTCCATTTACATTCAATAATAGTTGGATCATTCACCAAACTGCCAAAACATAATACTTCATACTTCCAAATACATTTTTATTTAAAAATATCAGTCTTAAAATTCCAATACATTTTGCATTTTTTAATAGCAGTAATTAGAGAAAGAATTTTACCATCTTATTTCAGTACTGATCAAGAATGCTGCCAACAAATGTGTGGTTGTCAGATCCAATTTATAGATTGGTTTGCATCATTCAGGGATTTTGAAATTTAAATATTTGCTCATGTCTAAAATTCAAGATTTCACTTGCCACTCCAGATTCTTGACCTCTGTTAAGATGATGACACTGAGAATGAGTTTGTTTTCCTGCCTGGCATTATTGGATCTGAGTTGTTTTGGAGCATGTGCTTACCGGTTTACAATAATCTCTAATGCATTCTATTATCTGTGATTGACTTCTCCCATATAGGAGGTTCTTCTCCCAAATATGAAAACTAAATGTCAATTTAAAAAATTTACATTCTTGTAATTAAAAAAAAAAATCTGCCGGGGGGGGGGTATAGGGTAGGTATGTAGGCTAGTGGTTAAGACACTTGCATCCCACATTGGTGTGCCTGGATGTGATTCCTGGCTTTAGCTTCTGACTCCAGCTTCCTGCCAGTGGAGACACTGATAGTCAGTGGTGATGGCACAAGTGTGTGGGAGACCTGGATTGAGTTCCTGGTTCTCAGCTTTGACCCTGGCCAACCCCTGCCAACTGTGGGCATTTGGGGAGTTAGCCAGTGAGTTGATAGGTATTTTTTATCTATATTTCTCAAATAAAAGTAAATGTCTGTTTTGACTTACTTGCCTGGCCTATGTGGATATTTGAGCTTTTGGTCCTTGATTTATTTATTTATTTATTTTTTAAAGATTTGTTTGTTTATTTGAAAGTCAGAGTTACATAGAGAGGCAGAGAGAGAGAGAGAGAGAGAGAATGTCTTCCATCTGATGATTCACTCCCCAATTGGCCTCAATGGCCAGAGCTGCACCAATCTGAAGCCAGGAGCCAGGAGCTTCTTCCCAGTCTCCCACACGGGTGCAGGGGCCCAAGGACTTGGGACATCTTCTACTGCTTTCCCAGGCCATAACAGAGAGCTGGATTGGTAGAGGAGCATCTGGGTCTCAAACCGGTGCCCATATGGGATGCTGGCACTTCAGGCCAGGGTGTTAACCCGTTGCACCACAGTGCCAGCCCCGGTCCTTGCTTTATTTAGAACAGTGGTTTTTCATATTGTGGACTATGGTCCATTAGTATGAATTGAAAATAACTTTGTGAATTACAGTCAGCGTTCCAAGAGAAAGAAAGAAAAAGAAATAGTATAGACTATTGGTTTTTAGTTGATGGTGATTTGTGCCCCTCCCAGGACATGTGTAATGTCAGAGGTATTTTTGGTTGTCAAGTTATGACAGCGTAGCAGTAGAGACTTCTACTGAAATCTATGAGTAACAGTCAGGGATACTGATAAATATCCGGCAGTGGAGAGGATAGCTTGCCACAATAAAAGATTATCTAACCGAAAGTGTCAGTGGTGCTGAGATTGTGAAACTGTGGGATAGATAGGTCAGCATTGTTTATAGTATTGTTTTATGAAACTTTATTTCATGAAATGTGTATTTGTGTTGAGCTATAATGCAAAATACATGTTTTATTGTGGGTCCACTGACAAAAGTTTGAATTTTACTACAAGGAATTTGATCATGGGAAAGGCTGAGAAGTGATGGACTAGGGGGTTTTCCTTTGATGTTTTCCACACGCTGTCTTGGGTATTGGAGCACTGTCTGATACATTGTCTCCACCAGGAACCCTGTGGAATCTCTCATCCCATGACTCAATCAAAATGGAGATTGTGGACCATGCATTGCACGCCTTGACAGATGAAGTAATCATTCCACATTCTGGTTGGGAAAGGGAACCTAATGAAGATTGTAAGCCACGCCATATTGAGTGGGAGTCGGTGCTCACCAACACAGCTGGGTGCCTTAGGTAATGATAGTGGCTTTGAGAATATGAAGACTGAATTTTTGAAGATTGGCTTAAATTTCTTTAAAATAAAGATTCATTAGCTGGTTATTCAATCTCCATTCCTATTTGTATAGCATACTGTAACCCATCCTGTCTTTCTACCTTTGTTGCTGCTCTCTGGTTTATAACACATATAACACATATGATTATATTGATCGCATGCTATTCCCTCTACATCCTTCTCACTTTTATTTCTCTTTTTGACTTTGTTCATCTAATTTGGTAAAAATTTGTTCAGTACATTCAATACTACCCTACATAACGTGCTTGTCTGGGCCTGGGCTTATGTGTTTGTCCCTGCTCTCAGTTACATTAATAAATGCAACAAAAGGAATACAATATTAGGAGGATGGGGTATAGATAAGGAAGGAAGTACTTTATTTTGTCTGTCAGTGCCTTTCTTTCCTTACTTTTTTTTTTTTTAATTTTTTTTTTTGACAGGCAGAGTGGACAGTGAGAGAGAGAGAGAGAAAGGTTTCTTACTTTTTGAGGCTAAATTCAAATGCCTTTGTTTTGTCTATGTTTTCCTGATTTCTTCTTTCTATATCCTATAAATGTAATGCAATCTTTTCGTCTTTGGAATAGAATATATCTCTGTGCTCCATCCCGTTTGCACATCCAGTCAAGAAGTATCAATTCCTGTTGTTTGTATATGTTTTAACCTCCACCCTACCTACAGGGTTATTAAAGTTGAGTGTTGGGACCTGTTAACCAACTTTCTGTCAACTGCAATGCCTTGCTTCTAATAGGTGTTGACTGTGTCAGTAAATAGAAAAGGTATTGAGGAAGCTTAGAGATGTTGAGGGCATCTTAAGAGAGGATCTGGATTTGGGTTGTCTTGAATATTCTCTTGAATTCCCCTCAGGAATGTAAGCTCAGAGAGGAGTGAAGCTCGCCGGAAACTTCGGGAATGTGATGGCTTAGTTGATGCCCTCGTTTTCATTGTTCAGGCTGAGATTGGACAGAAGGATTCAGACAGCAAGGTAAGTTGATAGCTGAGTGAGTTCTGTTTATACTGGAACCTTGAAGTAACTGTAGTGCAGACCTGTCATCTAAAGTTTTTAGGTAATGGTAAATATCTATACCAGTCTCTTCTCTCTAAAGTGGGCATTCAACTTAGAAGAAGACAGTTTTTCTCTTTTATCCTTTCTTTCCAAGATTTATTTGGTTTATTTATTTGAAAGGCAGAGTTAGAGAGGAGAAACAGAGATCTTCCATCTGCTGGATCACTTTCCAGATAGCCACAACAGCCCAGGCTGGGCCAGGCCGAAGCCAGGAGCTTCTTCTGGGTCTCCCATATGCCAGCATTGTGGCAAAGTGAGTAAATCCGCCACCTGTGATGACAGCATGCCATATGGGTGCTGGTTCGGAAGTGGCTGCTCAACTTCCAATCCAGATCCCTGCCAATGCACCTGGAAAAGTAGTGGAAGATGGCCCAAGTGCGTGGGCCCCTGCACCTATCTGGGAGACCTGGAAGAAGCTCCTGGCTCTTGGTTTTGGTCTGGCTCAGGCCTGGCTGTTGCAGCCATTTGGAGTGAACCAACGGTTGGAAGATCTCTCTAACTTTCTCAAATAAATAAAATCAATCTTTAAGGAAAAAGAGAGAGAGTAAGGGAATGGGGGGAGGGGAGGAGAGGGGAAAGAAGGGGAAGGGAAAGGGAAAAGGAGAGGAAGAAAAGGAAGGAAGAAAGAAAGAAAACTGCCTTAGGGCCAGCCTTGGGGTGCAGTGGGTTAAGCCACAAACATCCCATATGGGAGCCGGTTCGATAACCAGCTGCTCCACTTCCAATCCAGCTCTCTGCTATGGCCTGGGAAAGCAGAAGATGGCCCAAGTCCTTGGGCCCTTGTGCCCATGTGGGAGACCAGGAAGAAGCTCCTGGCTCCTGGCTTCAGATAGGCTCAGCTCCGGCCGTTGTAGCCAACTGGGGAGTGAACCAGTTGGATAGAAAACCTCTCTCTCTCTGTCTCTCCTCTCTCTGTGTAACTCTGCCTTTCAAATAAATAAATAAATCTTTAAAAAGAAAAAATAAAAATGGTACACCAAATAGTGGCAGAAGCCAATGGATGGACTTTCCGTTAGCCTGAAGCTACAGGCTCATGGAAGCCTGTAATTAAGAAGCCTGAGGCTTATGAGGTGACGGATTGGGCTGTGCTTTTGAAGACTGATATTTTAACAGTCATGTTATGGAAAATATATTTGGTGGAAAATCACGATAGGCACCGTCTTCTCTCATTGAGCCTTTTGTCTTGTGTCCCTAAGCTTGTGGAGAATTGTGTTTGCCTGCTTCGGAACTTATCATATCAAGTTCACCGGGAGATCCCACAGGCAGAGCGTTACCAAGAGGCGCCTCCCAGTGTTGCCAACAATACTGGGCCACATGCTGCCAGTTGCTTTGGGGCCAAGAAGGGCAAAGGTGAGTTGTAGTTTCTTGTTCCTTGCTCGTCAGTGTGGGACAAGGAAAAGTAAGGAACACTTTTAGGTTTAAATACAAAAGACTTGCCAAGCAGTGCGGGAGTCTACTGGTCAAGGGTGTCTTTGCTGTGGTGCTGCTTCCCTTGTGTTGTGTACATCATTCATTTGGTGGTGGTGGTGGTGGTGGTGGTGGTGGTGGTGGTGGTGGTCGTGGTGGTATAGGTAGCAATGACTGGGTAAAGAAGGATGAGAACTCAAGTAATCTGGGACCTTCTCTCCCATCCCCCTTTGTGTTCACTGTGTTTTCTTTTCTTCTGTGCTTTCCTGCTTGTTTGCTCACGATTCTATTGACATCTTTCTCCTGCTTTCTACTTTCATTTCTTTCTGCTTTCCATCTTGGGCGGCGCACTGGAAGATGAGTGGTTCTCCAGAGGTGAGTGGAATCTTTTAAGGCGCTTGTCTATTTCTAATTTGCATGTTTTGGTTTTAGCCTTCCCTAGTATTTCCTGCCTAACCCTTCCTTCCCTGTGGATGCATGTAGGAAAATTCGTTGAGGAAGATCTTAGCTATTCAGAGCTGATGGGTCATGGCATGCTATTTCTGGGCAGCAGTCCCTGTTACTGGAACTCAGGCAATAGCAACAATGGCTGTCCTTGTCTTGTCTGCTGCCTGTTTTCTGTCCTTGTTTCTGTGTAGCCCCCTGCTGGGACAAGCTGGACTCTGCCCTCCCTTCTTGTCCCTCTTGATGCATTTCTGATCCAGAGATTCTGACTGAAGAATGAAAAATTTGCCTGATGGAGTCTTCCTTTCTTAAGCTTCTTTACTCCTGTTCCTCCTCTTTTTCATTTCTATAGGGAAGAAACCCACAGAGGATCCAGTAAATGATACAGTGGATTTCCCTAAAAGAACTAGTCCTGCTCGAGGTAAGTTGTCTTTTTCCTCTCAATCTCTCAAAGTCTCATAAACATAGTCCACACACATATGGCACTGGTAGCCTAACAGCAGACTTTATGCAATGTGTTTACTGTTCTCTCTTCTTTACTCAAGGATTAGAAGTGGTGGTGAAAGCATTAGGAAGCTATAGTATTAGAGCAGTAACTACAAAGGAATGCTTATTGAGGCAATTACTCAGATTACTTCAGGATATTATAAGGCCCTAATGAGTACCCTTTGTGGCCACTGCAGTTCCTGGGACTTACTCCTTACTGTTAAAAGAAGCTTCTTGAGCACAATCTGTATCTTTATGTTCATCAGTACAATGAGTCCGAAGTTCACAGGGTATAAAATTTCATGATTATGGAGCTTTTAAATGTTGTTATGTCTGCCATGGACCCTTTTACTTAATAATAGTAAAGCTGGGGAGAATGACTAGGCTAAGTTAAGAATAATTCATGTGAGATGATCAATCTTTTGAGTGCTGTCAATGAGCTAAATGAATTCCCTGCAGACTCGTGGTATAACCAGGGCCAGGGTAAGCAGTGGGAGAGAAGGAGAAAGAGGAGTTGAATGTGATGTTTGATTTTCTGTTCTGCTGTTACCATGGATTAATTATTCTTTTTTTAAAGATTTATTTATTTAGTTGAAAGAATTACAAAGAGAGGAGAGGCAGAGAGAGAGAGAGAGAGAGAGAGGGGTCTTCCATCCGCTGGTTCAGTCCCCAATTGGCCGCAGTGGCTGGAACCGAGCCGATCCGAAGCCAGGAGCTTCTTCCAGGCCTTCCACGTGGGTACAGGGGCCCAAAGACTTGGGCTATCTTCTACTGCTTTCCCAGGCCATAGCAGAGAGCTGGATTGGAAATGGAGCAGCCGGGACTCGAACTGGCGCCTATATGGGATGCCAACACTGCAGGCGGTGGTTTTACCTGCTGCACCACAGTGCCAGCCCCAGATTAATTATTCTTAAGGCATGGTGAGGCCAGCATTGTGGTGTAGTAAGTAAAGCTACTGCCGCAGTGCCGGTATCCCATATGGGTGCTGGTTTGTGTCCTGGCTGTTACACTTCCAATCCAGCTCCCTGCTAATGACCTGGGAAGAGCAGTGGAAGATGGCCCGAGTACCTGGGCCCCTGCTACCCACGTGGGAGATCTGGAGGAAGCTCATGGCTCCTGGCATCGGCTTGGCCATTGCTGCCCTCAGGGGAGTGAACCAATGAATGGAAGATCTCTTTATCTCTGTAACTCTTTCAAATAAATAAATAAATCTTAAAAAAAAAGAAGGAGGAGACATGATATTGTGACTGAGCATACTGTTGAGTGGCTGGGACAGTTTAGGGGGCAGATTGGTTAAGGAACATAAATCCATCAATCCAGAGTACTAAGGTCAGACTCCAGCCGTTCTGTTGTCCGGTGTTGATTAGCATCCTCTGCCTTCTTGCCCTTTCTTGTGCAGGCTATGAACTCTTATTTCAGCCAGAGGTGGTTCGGATATATATCTCCCTCCTCAAGGAAAGCAAGACTCCTGCCATTTTAGAAGCCTCAGCTGGAGCTATCCAGAACTTGTGTGCTGGGCGCTGGACGGTAAGAACCTATTAGAAAATGGATTTGAATAGGGAGAACTTAGATAACTAGCTTGCCGCCATTTTTGTAATCTGTTCTGCCTCTTTCTGCCATTTCTAGTATGGTCGATACATCCGCTCTGCCCTGCGTCAAGAAAAGGCTCTTTCTGCCATAGCTGACCTCCTGACCAGTGAACACGAGCGTGTAGTGAAAGCTGCATCTGGAGCACTGAGGAATCTGGCTGTGGATGCCCGCAACAAAGAATTGATTGGTGAGGAATTGAAAGCTGACTGTGATTTCAGCATCTAGTATATACTTGTCTTCTAGCAGGTGCTCATAATTTCTTTAATGAAATGACATAAGTGAGGGACTCTAGCTGTCCATGGTTTGTGAATCCAAGGGTGAGAGTTGAAGTTGACTACTTCTTGGAAGGACAGGAAGTGATGGCTACAAAAACAGAATGATAATTGGTAGCATTTTTTTGAGCCCTTGTTTTGGTACTGTGCATTGTTAAGCATGTGTGTCTGTTTTTCACTTAATTCCCACCACTTTGCAAAGGCCAATTTTTTAAAATATAAAAGTATTTCAGGGGAAATAGGTATTATGAAAAACCTGCATGGATTACAAAATTGTTTGGCACCAGAATAAACTTATCTTTTAATTCTGTTTTCCCACAAACTTTTTGAAGTACTGTTGTGTATCAGATAAGGAAACTGAGGGTCATGGAAACCAAGTAATTTGTCCAGGGTTTATAGTATGTAACAAATTAGAGGCATAGCCCAGATTACCTATTTTTTAAAAATTCATGACTCTGTGCCACTGAATTATTGTAGTAATTAGCATTCTGCTTTTGTTAGGAGTATCTGAAAGGACTGGGGGTAGTATATTTGCTATACAGTGTAAACATTGCTTCAGTGTGGTTGAAGAAGGGGAGTTTAAAGGAATAGTAGGGACAGGACAGTAAATCCTTGGCTATTCTAAGTCCTTCTCCTTTGTGATATGGCAGTCCTATAGAATAATGAGGTCAATTGTATGACCGCAGTTAGTTGCAGTCAGTGGCTCCTCAGGGCCTGACCTGCCTGTTCTCCTTGCATGCGTTCCTTCTGTCTTACTGCTATAGGTAAACATGCTATTCCTAACTTGGTGAAGAATCTGCCCGGGGGACAGCAGAACTCCTCTTGGAATTTCTCTGAGGACACTGTGGTCTCTATTTTGAACACCATCAATGAGGTTATTGCCGAGAACTTGGAGGCTGCCAAAAAGCTTCGAGAGACACAGGGTATTGAGAAGCTGGTGTTGATCAACAAATCAGGGTGAGCTCACCATTTAACTCCAGCTGGAGGAATCTGAACAGAGAGGGGGTTGCTGGCAAGGAGCTTCCCTTCCTTGCTTTCTCAGATTGTTTCCTCTTACCTCCGTGTGGAGTGATATTGCTGGATTTTTCTGCCTTAATATTGATCCATAAATTTAAAGTGGACTCTTATGTTGAGCACTGTTTTGTATTGCTGTTGGGACAGAGTACAGGGCTTGGTAAAAACTTACTTCGCCCATTTTAGGGCTTATATTCTTCCATTAATTAGAAGGTATAAATTCTAAGCTGCTTTCCTAGTCTTATAACCAACTTCCATATGGTATTACTTTCCTCAAAAGGAATCGTTCAGAAAAGGAAGTTCGAGCCGCAGCACTTGTATTACAGACAATCTGGGGGTATAAAGAACTGCGGAAGCCACTGGAGAAAGAAGGATGGAAGAAATCAGACTTCCAGGTATAACACTGGAGAGCAAGAATTTTGCCTTTTTTCTCTTGGTTTCAGGGTAATGCTTCTGCCTTCTTTGTTTTTTTTTTTTTTCCCTGTCATCACACTTTTTTTTTAAACCCACATTAGTTAGTAAAGAAATTATTAGTTTTATTCTTCCTCAAAAGAGAAGGCACTGCTGAAACAGCTCTGGTCTCCATGTATGTCATAATGTACTGAGAGTGTTTATGGTGATGAGTAATGATGGTGGCCTGTGTGATGGCTTCCCAGATCTGCTGCCCTGTGTGGGTATTTATCATTTTCTATGATGGTTTTCTTCTAATAGTATGAGTGCTTTGAACCTTGGTAATCTCCTGTTTAGGAACATGAATAGCAGGCATAATATCAGTTTTTTTGACTATGGAATATTGAACTCTTACAACTTGTCTTTTCATGAATGTATTCAAAGGGCGTTGTGGTGCACCTAGTAAAGCCACCACTTGGGACGCCTGCATCTTGTATCAGACTGCTGGTTTGAGTTGGAGCTGTTTCGCTCCCAACTCAGCTTCTTGCTGATGTGTCTGGGAAGGTAGCAGATGAAGGGCCAGGTCCTTGGGTCTCTGTCACCCATGTGGAAGACCTGAATGGAGTTCTGGTTCCTGGCTTTGGTCTGGCCCAGCCCTAGCTGTTGCAGGCTTCTCTCTATGTGACTCTGCCTTGCAAATAAATAGAAATAAATCTTTAAAAGATCGTAAGAGTTGTATTTGACAATGGGAACCTAGAGATTTATGCCCATAAATAAGATATGGAGTAAGATATGGGTGAATTCAGTATTTAATGATGTTATTACATTTTGTGTTTGCCTCCAGGTGAATCTAAACAATGCTTCCCGAAGCCAGAGCAGTCATTCATATGATGATAGCACTCTCCCTCTCATTGACCGCAACCAAAAAGCAGGTACAGTATCCAGGGGGCCAACCCCTCTCCTTTTAACCACTCCTGCTGCTATTTACTGGGCTCTCGAACTTAGGATACATAGTTATTTTGAATGAGCTAGTCTTTTGAGGAAGGAGAATAATATTTTGCTCCAGGATTGTAACCCAAGAACAGGTAGGTCTAAACATTAGAAATCAAAATGAAACAGGCAATTAGCTGAGTATGATCCTTCAATCTTTTCTTATGAACTTAAAATCTCTGGAAAGTGAACCCTAGACTCTGTTGTTTTTTGTTTTTTGTTTTTTGTTTTTTTTTTTTTTTTGCTTTGGAGTCTGCACATAATGCCATGTAATATAGCAAATAGAATCACTTTATTTCTGTTATCCAGAGATAACCACTGTTTTGGGTTGTATCTTTTTAATCATTTTTTGCTAAGAGAACGATCACATTTTCCCCTAAGAAATGAAACATGGTTTTTTGGGTAAATTTTTACTTACTTTTCATTACTTTTCATTTAAAGTGTATATTATGACCCTTGTTACCTGAATGATATTGGGCTTCTCCTCAATCAGTTGGTTCTGGTAGAGTGGCCCAAGGGTCCCCACAGTGTGGCTGTTTGTATCAATAGCACAGAAATAGTGATGCTTATTGATGGTGACTTAGCACAGATAGGGGCAGTGACCACAAACTGAGTCATTCATTGTTGTCTTCATTACCATGCATTTAGGGAATAAAAACCGTTTTCACTAAAGAATATACTTGATGAAACTGTAAAAGATAATTTTATTATGTTTCTACCCTTGGACCCATCTTTTTAATAATCTGTATCGATGAAGTAAACAGTATCACTCTGTTGCATGCCAAAGCATGATGGTGTTGCAAGGAAAAGCATGTGTGCTATTGTTTGAGTTACTGTGAATTACTGGTTGAACTAACCACTTTTTCAATGGAACATCACTTTTTTTTTTTTAAGGTTTATTTATCGTTTATTTGAAAGGCAGAGTGACAGAACGATCTTCTTCCACTGTTTCATACCCCAAATGGCCACAATGGCAGGGGCTAAACCAGACCAAAGCCAGGAGCTTGAAACTCTGAGTCTCCCACATGGGTGGCAAGGGCACAAGTACTTGGGCCATCTTCCACTGCCTTCTCAAGGACATCAGCAGGGAGCTGCATTGGGAAGTAGAGCACCTGGGACTTGAACTGTCACTGTGATATGGGATGCTGATGTTGTAAGCTAAGGCCTTCTGTACCACAGTGTGTACTGAGAACACCATTTTTACTTGAAAAAATCATTGGCAGACCAATTGTGATTCAGATGTGGGTATTTGACAGATATTTTCTCAGAATAAATGTAGTTAGTATATCAAGTTGAGGAAAATAATTTTCAAAATTTGCTGTCTGAGCTTTAAGTGGAAATTATATTTTATAATTTTAATAAAATACTTATTTTAGAAAGCATATCTGCTTCTGTTATAACATGTTAAATAATGTTTGAAATACCAGCATAATTTGTTCTGTGTTTTTTTTTTTTTTCCCTTCACCATTTCAGAATATATATTTAGTATAATTCCATATTTACAGATATGTAAATATCTGTAGTAGATAGTAACAGGCAGTTAGGGATCTGGACTGGAACTACTTCTCCCTCAGTCAACATATTCTTCCTCAAAATCATGAATTTCTTTGAATCACTGGCCTCTAACCCCTTGTGATTATTCCCACAACCTGGAATAAAAGTAATGATCTCTGCCTATATGGTATTAATTCGTGTTTCCTAAAAGATTTACTTATTCATTTGAAAGTCAGAGTTATAGAGAGATAAAGAGATCTTCCATCTGCTGGTTCACTCCTCACATGGCCACATCAGAGCTGAGCTGATCCGAAGCCAGGAATCAGGAACTTCTTCTGGATCTCCTACATGGGTAGAGAGGCCATGGAACCTCTCTGCCTCTCCTCTCTCTGTGTAACTCTTTCAAATAAATAAATAAAAATAAATCTTAAAAAAAAAAAAAAAAGAATTAATGGCAGGGACTAGCACTGTGGCGTAGTGAGTAAAGCCACCGTCCACAGTGCCAGCATCCCATGCGGTCACAGGTTCGAGTCCTGGCTGCTCCACTTATGATCCAACTCTCTGCTATGGCCTGGTAAAGCAGTGAAAGATGGCCCAAGTCCTTGGGCCCCTGCAAGCATGTGAGAGACTCAGAAGAAGCTCCTGGCTCCTGGCTTTGGATCAGCTCAGCTCTGACCATTGCGGCCCTTTGGGGAGTGAACCAGTGGAACGGAAGACTGTCTCTCTCTATGGCTCTACCTCTCTTTAACTCTGTCTTTCAAATAAATAAATAAATAATACATCTTAAAAAAAACTGTACAACTTTTACATTTTTGCACATCTTTTTAAACAATACTTTTTAAAATTAAGATACTACTTATGATAACATGTAGTAAACTTGTTATTTTAAGTAAAATAGATATTTAAATTTCAGTATGATAATATTAACACACATAACCCACATCAACTGAAAGCTCTTTAGAGATGCTCCTAATTTTTAATATTGCTTTTATTGTTCATTATTTTAATAATTATTAATATTATTGTTATAAATAATTAACAATATTAAATTATTAATATTAAATTATTAATAATTTATTTGACAAGTAGAGTTATAGACAGAGAGACAGAGAGAAAGGTCTTCCTTCCGTTGGTTTACCCCCACAAATGGCCCCTACGGCCAGCACTGCACTGATCCGAAGCCAGGAGCCAGGTGCTTCCTCCTGGTCTCCCCTGTGGGAGCAGGAGCCCAACCACTTGGGCCATCCTCCACTGCACTCCCAGGGCACAGCAGAGAGCTGGACTGGAAGAGGAGCAGCCAGGACTAAAACCTGGTGCCCTTATGGGATGCCAGTGCCGCAGGGAAAGGATTAACCAAGTGAGCCATGGTGCCGGCCCCTATTATTTTTATTATTATTATAGTTTATTATATTTATTGGAGCTGGCATTGTGGCTTAACAGATAAAGTTGTTGCCTGCGATGCCAACATCCCAGATGTGCACCAGTTCATGTCCTAGTTGTTCCACTTTCTGTTCAACTCCCTGCTATGGCAAGGGAAAAGTAGCAGAGGATGGCCCAAGTGCTTAGGTCCCTGCTATACATAACGTGAGAGACCTGGATGAAGCTCCTAGCTTTGGACTGCTCCAGCCCTGGCTATTGTAGCCATCTGGGGAGTGAACCAACAGATGGAAGATCTCTCAGTCTATAGCTCTTTCTTTTTTCTTTTTTTTTTTTTTTTTTCTTCCGACAGGCAGAGTGGACAGTGAGAGAGAGGGACAGAGAGAAAGGTCTTCCTTTGCCGTTGGTTCACCCTCCAATGGCCGCCGCGGCCGTCGCACCGCGCTGATCTGAAGGCAGGAGCCAGGTACTTATCCTGGTCTCCCATGGGGTGCAGGGCCCAAGTACTTGGGCCATCCTCCACTGCACTCCCGGGCCATGGCAGAGAGCTGGCCTGGAAGAGGAGCAACCGGGACAGAATCTGGCGCCCCGACTGGGACTAGAACCCGGTGTGCTGGCGCCGCAAGGCGGAGGATTAGCCTAGTGAGCCACGGCGCCAGCCAGTCTGTAGCTCTTTCAAATAAATAAATAAATCTTATTTTTTTAAAAAATATTTATTTATTTATTTGAAAGACAGAACCTGTGAGAGAGAGAGAGAGTGAGTGAGCTTCCATCTTCTAGTTTACTCTGCAAATAGCTTCAACAGCCAGGGCTGGGCCACACTGAAGCCAGGAGCTAGAAACTCCATCCTGGTCTCCCATGTGATGGTAGGGGCCCAAATTCTTGGGCCATCATTCACTGCCTTCCTAGGCAGTGTATTATCAGGAAGCTGTATCAGAAGTGGAGCAGCTGGGACTCAAACCAGCACTCCAGTATGGGGTATCAACCTTATAAGTGGTGACAATCTGCTGCTCCACAGCACTGGCCCCTTTATTATTATTTATATATATTTATTATGTTATTATTTTAAAATATTTTATTTATTTATTTGAAAGGCAAAGTAGCCGGCGCCGTGGCTCACTAGGCTAATCCTCCGCCTTGCGGCGCCAGCACACCGGGTTCTAGTCCTGGTCGGGGCGCCGGATTCTGTCCCGGTTGCCCCTCTTCCAGGAAAGCTCTCTGCTGTGGCCAGGGAGTGCAGTGGAGGATGGCCCAAGTGCTTGGGCCCTGCACCCCATGGGAGACCAGGAGAAGCACCTGGCTCCTGCCATCGGATCAGTGCGGTGTGCCGGCCGCAGCACGGCGGCCGCGGAGGCCATTGGAGGGTGAACCAATGGCAAAAGGAAGACCTTTCTCTCTGTCTCTCTCTCACCGTCCACTCTGCCTGTCAAAAAATAAATAAATAAATAAATAAATAAATAAAAGAAAGAAAAGAAATAAAAGAAAGAAAGAAAGAAAGGCAAAAGTAACATACACCTAGAGAAAGGGAGAGATCTTCAATCTACTTCACTCCCCAAACATCTACAACAACTAAGGTTATGCTAGGCTGAAGCCAAGAACCAGGAACTCCTTCCAGGTCTTCCCACGTAGGTAGCAGGAGCCCACTCATCATCTGCTGCCTTGCAGGTACATTAGCAGGAAACTGGATCAGAGCTAGGATTAGCTGGTTCTCAAACCAGGTACTCTGACATGGTTTGTCCCAAGCAGTGGCTTAACCCACTGTTCTGCAACATCTGCCACTTGGGACACTTTTTTTTTTTTTTTTAAATTTATTTATTTAATTTGATAGGCAGAGTTACAGAGAGATAAGACACAAGCACACACACACCCATCTTCCATCCGCTGGTTCACTTCCCAAATGGCAACATCGGTTAGACTTGGGCTAGGAGATTCCTCTGGATCTCCCACGTGGATGCAGGGGCCCAAGAACTTGGACCATCTTTCCCAGGCATACTAGCAGGGAGCTGGATTGGAAGTAGAGCAGCTGGGATTCGAACTGGCACCCATATGGGATGCTGTTGCTGAAGGCAGCAGTTTAACCTGCTGTGTCACAGCACCGGCCCTAGGACCACTTTTTTTTCTTTAAATTTATATTTGAGAGTTATAATTACAGAGAGGGGGAAGAGACAGAGAGAAAGGCCTTCCATCTGCTGGTTTACTCCCCAGATAGCCACAATGGCTGGAGAGCTGGGCCGATCCAAAGCCAGGATTCAGGAGCTTCTTCCTGGTCTCCCATGCAGATGCAGCTTGGACTATCTTCCACTGCTTTCCCAGGCCATAAGCAGAGAGCTGGATTGGAAGAGGAGCAGCCAGGACAAGAACCGGCGCCTACATGGGATGCCGATGCCACAGATGGAGAGTTAGCCTACCATGCCACAGTGCCAGCCCTTTAGGGCCACTTTTAAAGGCCCTTGGGGGCCAGTGTTAAGTGCTACCACTTGCTGTAGACCAAAGAGTAATTTTTGTGATGTGTCTAGAGTTTAAAGAGTTGGTTTTTGACCTGGATAACTTTCTGACTCCTTATAGATAAGAAACCAGATCGGGAAGAGATTCAAATGAGCAGTATGGGATCTAACACAAAATTACTAGGTAGGTGATTGATGCCTCTTAAGGATTTAGAGCTATTTATCTCTATAGGTTTTTCTAATATCCTCAGTATTTATCATACTGGAAAAGCATTGGCCAGTCATTAAATTTATTTAAATTTTGCTCACATAATACCATTTTCTTGTTTGCTTTTCTACGTTCTCTTCATTCCTAAAGGCTTAAGCTCATGTTTTCCTTTGCCAGGTCCTTCCCAACTATTGTAGCTTACTTTGCTCTCCTTTTGCTTAATTGCAATACTCTTTACAAACAGATCTCTTCAGTTTAGCTTTGTTATTATGTGTTGTACTCTGGGTGTCTCATGTATGTTGTCTTTCCTGTTGGTTTCAGGGACAATTAAGCATTAATGCCTTTCTGGAACATTTGGCAAAGCTCAATTTCTGTCAGAAATATGTAATTCATACTTACCTGTTTGATATATATTGTACTTGAGAGGGTAAGGTCATGTTTCTGTGTGCTTTCTCACTAGATAACAATTATTCCACACTTAATGAGAGAGGGGACCACAACAGAACACTGGATCGATCCGGGGATCTAGGTGATATGGAGCCATTGAAGGGAGCACCATTGATGGTAAATTCTTGTTATATACTATTGGCCATCTAAGACTAGTTCTATTTTGAAGCCTGCATATTTTATGAAATAGGAAAAAAAGGTACAGAGAGAAAGACCCTTTTCTTGTTGGTGTTTTCAGTAAAAAGTGGGAGTTTTTGATTCATTTTGGGATTTGTTGGGTTATTATTCTGCTGTGGTCAAGATGGGGGAAGGGAAGTCTAAATGTGTTACTGTTATGACTAACACTAACTGATCTGTTCTCATACTTTGCCTTCTTCCTGAACCTGCCTGTGTGAATGTTGTGCCCTTCTCTTACTGTCATCTTGTTTTGTTTGAGTTTATAGATTTTGGGATTTGCACTCGGTCTGGCACACTCTCACGAGATTCCTTTCTCTTCACTCATACTAACAAATTGCATGTGTTCACAGCAGGACGAGGGACGGGAATCTCTGGAGGAAGAGTTGGATGTGTTGGTTTTGGATGATGAGGGGCACCAAGTGTCTTACCCCTCCATGGTATGTCCTCCAGTCTCTCCTGAGATCAGACTTGAGGAAGAAGGCTCCTGTGTGTCAGCTCGCCAATCATGCTGACCTGATCAGACCCGAGACACCAGGTCTCAGCCTTGCGGGGCTCAGGGGGCTCTGCTCCTTTGATTATTACCTCTTGAGAAGCTGGGGCCTGCAGCTGGTGATCTGATTCTTGGTTGTGTGCTGCTTTCCTCCAGATTTACTCAACTGTCTTTTTTGGGGTCTCCTTACTCCCAGCTCTATTAACATCCTCTTTCTCTTTTCTTCCCACAGCAGAAGATTTAGCACCACCATCTCCGCTCCATCTGGGCTTATAATATATGTACTTTTATTTTTTGGTGGTGAAATGGACTGATGATTTTTTTCCTTTCTTCGCTGGACTATTGTGCCAACTGCCAGGCTGCCTCCTGCTCTTATAGCCCTAAGTGGCTGCCTTCTTTATATCAACTCCCAACTTCTTCCAGTGAAGTTTAAATGTCCTACCCACCTCCGCCCCCATTCCCTCCAGTTTCTCCCAAGAAGCTTGACTCAGTTATTTGCATATTTTGAGAAACTGCTGCAGATTAGCTCTTTTTGCCAACTCTCCCTTGAACTCTTGGCCGTGTGTAGAGGAGGGAGAGAGTGGGAATCTTCTTCACTGGAAGCCATGGGAAGAATTGGAACTTATATGCAATATATGCAGTGTTGAGCAATCTGACAAACTGATGGTTCTTAATCAAGATTTTTTTCCCCTGGTGGGGAAGGGACTTTTTATTTCCTTTTGGAGACTGGGAAGTATGAGTTCTTCCTTTACTCCTAATGGCTATTTTTGAAGCAAAGAAGGCTGGCAACATTGGCACATTCCACCTGGCAAGGGCCCTTGAGTAAGTGAAGGTCTTCTAGAACTGGGATTAAGAATTCTTGCTCTCCTCACCTATGGGGCAGGGACCATCAAAGACCTACAGACTCCATCTCTTCTACAAGCCTCATGTCAACTTTGGGCTGCAGCCGCTGAGGCTATCCTTAGCCCTCCTCTCCCGCGTTGTGATATGTCTGCTGACTTGGCCTGGCCGTTTGCAAGAAACTGTTTAAAGAGGAGAATGTCAAGGAAGACTTTTGGTTGAGAAGGAGCAGAAAGATGTCTTTTGGAAAGAAGAGGAGCCTCTAGGAGGAGCTAGTAGGAATGTACATGAAGTGGTTAGTCTGAAACTGGCAGGAAGCTTCAAAGCTGGCTTCCCCCTCTCCATTTCTCCTTGTCCTCCCCTTTCATCCCCTGCCTCCTCCCTGGATTGGTTGGCCAACTAAGGACTTGATGTATATAACTCCTGTCCCCTTTACCCTTATAATGTGGGGATTGCCCCTGGCTTTGCCTCTTCTTTGTGCCTTTGGCCTGGGGTGTATCTCCTCCCTCCCTTCCATGTGCCTTTCTTTACCTCTGCAGTCTCATTTCTCATGATTTTGCAAATTCTATTTTGTTGCTTTCTTGCCCACTATTGGCCCTCAGTAATAGAAAGAAGAGGAGAGGTGACCTAGAGAACCTCAGATTCTCAGTTGGGGATTGGCGTAGCTTTTGAGTTTAGCCATAGCAAGCTTTTGCTCAACAGCATCAGGTTGGGGTTTTGCAAAAATCCCATTCTGATAAATCTCAAAGTGGAATTAATGGGAGGAATGCGTGGTGTGACTCTTGTTCTTTAGTTGCCCACAATTTCCCATCATCTCTGAAGGGGTCGTAGGGAAGTCATCTTTCCCGATTTCCTCCTTCTTGCTAATATTGCACCCTCTTGCTTTAGTGTGTATTAGCAGATTGGGTTAGAGGAATCAGCTGCTATGCGGGTTAATTTTTTTTTTTTTTTTGATCCTTTTCCTTATTTGCCTTCTACTCCCCTTAATCTGAAAGCTCTGTTCAATGCAACTGGAATTCTTTATCCCTCTTTTCCCCTTCCCTTATGTATTGAGGCTATGGGGTAGGAGAAAAGTGCACAATTCACCCCCCTTCCCCATATGTTAAAACTCCTTATTTGCCTCTCCCCCTCCCATTTCTTCCTATTCCCTTCTACCTTATGTTATCCGTGATCCCCGGAGCACACTGCACAGGGGAAGTTGCCCCATCCCCACCTGACTCGACTCTTGGTTTCTCTTGCCCTCCTCTGCTTTTTTCCTGGTGCTCTCTTTTCGGTGGGATGTGGGTAATAGAACAGCCATGGGCTTTTGGGGACCTTTAACTGTTTTTTTTTTCCTTCTCTCATTTATAAAAACACTAAACATTCAATTCCAGAGAACCAAAAATCCCACCTTCTCACCGAACACTACTAAGGGGCATGCCTTCTGCTCCATATCTTTTCTCATTTTCTTTCTTTCTTGTTAATGCTTTTAAAAACAAATGAGTTTTTTATATAAATAAAGTTTTTAAAGTGTGTATGTGGGGGGTCTGTGTCATTTCTTCACTTCTAGCTGTATCTTTTCCCTCCTTTTCATCTTGGTTACCTCCTTATGTGTCAGTGTCCTTTCTTTCCAGAACAACCAGAGGAGGTGACACCGGGATGGATTTATTTTGAACACAGTCCAACTTTTTATCAAGCAGCGTCCTTTTTAAATCATATGTGAAACATTTTTTCTTTAGAAGATTCTTAAAAATTAAATGTGGCTGAAGTAGAGCTTGGGGAGCTTATTGCAAACTTAGCAGTAGGAGATTGAAGTGTAGTTAATGACTTCCTAAGTCACTGGAATTCTCTTGCTACATTTGACAAAACTAACATTGAATAAAGCCCACTGCAGTAGATGACTCTCTTGAACATAACACTTAGGAGAAGACTAGAAGCTACCAACCCCAACTGCCATCCTAATAAATAGGAGAATGTAGAATAAAAACACCCATGTATGTAAATATTGATCACTGGGCCATAATGTTGCTGTCAGGCTATATTCAGTCCTTATAGTTAGAAACCAATAGGCCTATTTATTTGATAAGCCATATTATCTGGTAGGATATCCTATCAGAAATTTGGTAATTATTTGGATATCCTACCAAGTAATATGTGAGTGATAGAAAATATTTGTTGGATTATGAAGTGACTATCTTTACTGCAGAGACCAAGGATTAAGACCTTTGGAAAGAGATTTATTTTTCTGGGGCCCTCATCTCCTGTCATGATTAAAAATCTCAAGAGAACTTATGTAAAATGCTTTCTGTATGCCCAAATCTTTAGATTAAAATTTTATAGCTGCTTCTGAATATGGTTCTGTCTCATTTTGTTGAAATAGGATTTGGGTATGAAATCTTCCTTGGGCAAATGAGACTATGAAATGTGAACATTGTAGCTGTTACCTTTTAAGGCTTGATATGTGTCTGCCAATCATAATATCAGACCAGAAAGACGAAGCACAAAGCCCAGAAGCTTTTAAGAGTTTGTTTTCCAGAGAGTTGGGTAGCTGCACTTTGGATGGTTTTTAATCTAGGTAGAGAAGCCTAGCTGCTAACTGGTCAGTAGTCCTTTATTTCCCTGATACTGTTTATTTTTCACTGGCATTGAGCTACATACAAATCTTACTCTTTCCCTTTTTTGAATTGATCCGTTTGTTTTCTCGTTCAGTAAATATTTGCAAAGCACCTTCCATATGCTAAGCATTATTGTGGAGGATTAGATGAGAGAAGGAAACAGAGCCTTTCATGGAGATTGTGATCCATGAGATTTCTCTGTAGCCAAGATCTATGATATTTTAGAAACATTTCTTCTTTCTGTGCCATTATCTAAAATGAGGTGTTAAACAGAATGATCTGTAAATGCCCCATATCTTTTTTTTTTTTTTAAGATTTATTTATTTTACTTGAAAGAGTTACACAGAGAGAGAAGGAGAGGCAGAGAGAGAGAGAGAGAGAGAGAGAGAGAGAGAGAGCGCTTTTATCCATTAGTTCACTCCCCAGTTGGCTGCAACGGCCGGAGCTGTGCTGATCCGTAGACAGGAGCCAGGAGCTTCTTCCGGGTCTGCCATGTAGATGCAGGGACCCAAGAGCTTGGGCCATCTTCTACTACTGCTTTCCCAGGCAATAGCAGAGAGCTTGGATGGGAAGTGGAGCAGCTGGGACTCGAACTGGCACCCATATGGGATGCCGGCACTGCAGGCAGCGGCTTTACCCACTACACTACAGCACTGCCCCCCCCCCCCCATATCTTTTAAAAAATTACATTTTAAGATCTATTGATTTGAAAGGCAGAGTTGAAGGAAGAGAAAGATCTGTCTGCTGGTTCACTCCCCAAGTGGATGCAATGGCCAGGGCTGGGCCAGGCCTAAGCCAGGAGCCTGGAACTCTATTCAGGTCTCCCACTTGGGCGGCAGGGACCCAAGTACTGGGGCCAAGATGAAGTATCAGGGAGCTGGATCAGCAGTGGTGCAGCTTGGACTCGACCTGGTGCTTATATGGGACTCCTGGTATTGCAAAGCAGCTTAACCCTTTGCACCACAACTCCAGCCACTCTAAGCTTCTAGACACTGCTTTAGATATGCCTCTTGATAGCTCTTGTTCATACCAATTTTAGGAATCCTTTGGATTCTGTTGATAATGTGCACAGGTACCCCTGGATCCTTTAGAGCCTGAGTTTTCATGGAAGTGGTTAAAGATTGTGGTCCTCCACCCTAACGCCTTAACAAGGTTTTCTTGGTGAACATGTTTCTAGCCAGCTGTAATGAGTCTTGCTGAGATATGCTTTTTTTTTTGTGGACAGTGAGACAGAGAGAAAGGTCTTCCTTTGCCGTTGGTTCACCCTCCAATGGCTGCTGCGGCCGGCGCACCGCGCTGATCCGATGGCAGGAGCCAGGTGCTTCTCCTGGTCTCCCATTCGGGTGCAGGGCCCAAGTACTTGGGCCATCCTCCACTGCACTCCCGGGCCACAGCAGAGAGCTGGCCTGGAAGAGGGGCAACCGGGACAGAACTGGCATCCCAACCGGGACTAGAACCCGGTGTGCCGGCGCCGCAAGGCGGAGGATTAGCCTAGTGAGCCGCGGCGCTGGCGCTGAGATATACTTTCTAACAGCTGAGTTGTGACCTCACTTGACCACTTGCTCTTTCCGTCTGAACTAATGTGTTTTGCTACACACTAGAACATCTAACCCAGAAAGAACTAAGGACTAGTCTTTCTATGTCATTCTTTTCTCATTTTGTCTGTATTTGTATCTGAAGTGAAGGCTCTTGGTGTTTTTGTAGAGTTGTAGATCAGCTAGACTTAGCCTTAGAGATCTTAGAAAGTATGTAAGAGTTACTTGGGACACAAATTGAAAGTGCAGAGGCCCATGTTTTCATTTCTAAAATTGGATTCAATAGGTAGGACCCAGCATTCTGAAATCTTGGTAAGTCACTCAGGTTATTCTAATACATGAGGTTAGTAAATTGCAACTTCAGACATTGGTTTAGTTACTTGACCTCCAAGTAGAACCCAGAATGGCTGGGTCCGCACTAGATTCATGGTGGGTGTAAATAATATGTGGTGACATATTATGTATATAAAGAGAAAATTCATAGATGAAACAACATCTCAAAGGAATTCTTTGCTTATGGTAGCATTAATGAGGCAATGATAAGAAATAGATGTGCTACAAATTGTTTCATGTAGGTGATGCCCAGGGTGCTGAGAGGGAGAGCTAGCCCTTAATATGGGCCCCTCTGGGCTCAGCATTGAGATGTAGCAGCTTAAACTATGGGTTAAAATGTTTGTAACACTTTTTTTTAAAGGATTTATTTATTTATTTGAAAGGCAGAGTTACAGAGAGGCAAAGGCATAGAGGTCGAGAGAGGTCTACCATCCACTGGTTCTCTCCCTAGGTGGCTGCAACGCCAGAGCTGTGCCTATCTGAAGCCAGGAGCTTCTTCCAGGTCTCCCACGTGGGTGCAGGGACCCAAGGACTTGGGCCATCCTCCACTACTTTCCTAGGCCATAGCAGAGAGCTGGATCAGAAGTGGAGCAGTTGGGACTCAAACCGGCGTCTGCATGAGATGCTGGCACTGCAGGCAGTGGCTTTACCTACTATACCAGAGCACTGCCCACTGTAACACATATCTAAATGCTGGCTACTTGCTTCTGATTCAGTTTCCTGCTAATATGCCTGGGAAGGCAGCAGAAGGTGACTCAAGTACTTGGGTACCTGGCATCCATATGAGAGATCAGGGTGGAATTCGTGGCTTCTGGCTTTGACCTGGTCCAGTCTGGCTGTTGTAGTCCTTTGGTGGAGTGAACCAATGGATAGAAGATCTCTTGTCACTCTGCCTTTCGAATAAATGAACCTCCTCTCCCCCTCAAAAAATACCTGGAGTCCTCTGTGGCACAGATGATCCCAGAGTTGCTGACTTTTGGTCAAGTGTCACTTCTGACTACAAAGAGTACCTCAGATGGGGAGTCAGTTGGCCCTTTAGTCAAATCCAAGAAGCCATATCTGGAAATTGTAAATCACTCAGGAGAGAGAACCTACCTCAAGAAGACACATAGAAACAGGATTTTGTTCGAAGTAAATTTTTTTTCATATAACTAAGACCTCTTGATTTTCGTGTCATTTGACATTAAAAGCATTAGTTCATCAGTTCCACCCAGAATTTAGAGGCAGAAAGGAATGGGGAGAAATCTGTAGGAAGTGAGCCCAGAAAGCATAAATGAAAGTAATCATCTATCATCTTTATACCCTGAGTCTGTGTGAAATAACTAAGGCCAGCTGTCTATGAGTGGTTTGAGTCAAGAGCTTTATCCTTATTGCTGTAATTGCAGGAGCTCTCAGAATTATTGTAAAACTGTGAAAACTAGCTTTTTTGTTTGTTTTTTGACAGGCAGAGTGGACAGTGAGAGAGACAGAGAGAAAGGTCTTCCTTTTCCGTTGGTTCACCCTCCAATGGCCGCTGTGGCTGGCGCACCGCGCTGATCCGAAGGCAGGAGCCAGGTGCTTCTGGTTTCCCATGGGGTGCAGGGCCCAAGCACTTGGGCCATCCTCCACTGCACTCCCTGGCCACAGCAGAGAGCTGGCCTGGAAGAGGGGCAACCGGGACAGAATCTGGTGCCCCGACAGGACTAGAACCCAGGGTGCTGGCGCCGCAGGTGGAGGATTACTGATTTTTTTTTAATACCTGAGGAAGTGCCACACCCCTTTCCATGTTCATCTTCATCTTTGTTGTTGAATAGGCCAGGCTCTTCTACTTTCATTGTGGACACAGATTACTACCTTGCTGTCTTTCTCCAATATTTCTAGTGCTGATGGACACTAGAGGTAGGCCATAAAGTATTTGTGCTTGAGGAAAAGAAAAGTGAGGTATCTATGATGATGACTCAGTCACTTCTGACCCACTTTTCCCCTTCACTTCAATCCCCTTTCCTCTCCACCTTTAAGTCTTAATGGTTTCTTTTTCTTTCTTTCTTTCTTTTTTTTTTTTTTTTTGACAGCTA